ATCAGATTCGGATGGATATCCACGAATAGGAATAGTCATTCATAAAGTTAGCATGATACTAATTAGAAATCACAATAGTACAATCATAGTTGTAGTGAATATATTTGCGATTTGCCGTCATTTTTTATACAATTTTTGCATTACAATTTCGACACGGAATACTACAGCCTATTTTTGTTAATATAAACCGTAGCACTACTGCAGCCCGCAGCATCTCTGAGCATGGCCGTCTCATCTAATTAAAAGTTAAAATTCGTAGGGATTAACGTATTTTTTTATAGCTATATCTATATATTATACTAAACCACCAAAATGTGTGTTGTCTGACTCTGATCGTACCGCGTCTCAAAATACGGATGCGCTGACCCTAACCCTAACCCCATTCCCATTTCTTTAATTTCCCTCTCTCGTTTGTTCCTCACGTTCTCTTCTCTTCATCATTCTCCTTCTACATGCATTATCGCCCGTCCGTGTTATGTAAAAGCTGTACACGTGTATGTGGAATTCCTTTTCTCTTGCCATTTTGCGTAACCGTCAATCGTAATACTCTGCTTACTTTACTGGTGTGATTATAAATTATATAAATCAAACTAACCAAGCAAGAGGGGAGTTAATGATTAATAAAGATTTTAATCCCGTGCATGATCATGCCTCATCCCGTTACTGGGTACGAGATATTTTTGTCCATTTCAAACATTTTGTAGAAAAAATTAAGATAAAATATTTACTGGCTCCGCGAGATCGATTCATAACTTGATCATCGCAAAGATAATCAAAATCAGTTCTATATACTTTGAACTCAGGGCTAGCATTTGTCGCGAAAGGGTTAATTTGTAGAATCGTGTGGAGCATATATGCCCACATATTGATGGTGTTTTTGATAGATTGAGAAGTGGATATGGGTGAGGTTGACGGTGATTTAACACCAACTTGTCATTTTTAACCATCGACTTATGGTAGCGAAATGGATGGAATGGACTAAAACAAGAAAGCTGATTGTTTAAGAATCACAATAGAAAAAGAGTTACTTCGTGCAAGAATTAGGATATATAGCCATTTGGGAGATTTATCCACCGAAAATAAAGTTTTTTAAACGTGGCGAAGCCCACGTTTACAAAGCACATGAGGAGATATTCATGATTCATTAGTAAGAAACCGACCTTAACTGACAATACGTGTTTTGGGGTGGAATGGAGAGCTCTGAACTCAAACGTGCGCAATGCAGAGCACGTCAAAGATTGATAACCTTATGAGAAGTCACCTTAATATGCATATCAAGATAATTCGTGAGGGTCTGGGTCCAAAACGGACAGTAATAATGATATGATTAAAGTTTACTACAAATTAACCTTGTTGGTAAATGGAAAAACTACCGTGCAGATAGCTAGCAGAAACGGTGGTTGACATTATACAGGCAACCAAATTTAGAAACAAGAGCTTCAAAACTATGGGCTCTGAATTCAGTTGGAAAGGGAAAAGAAAGGAAGAAGAATTCAAGAATTGACTGGGCAACAACATCTGGAACCAAAAAGCAGTTCTACTTTTCTGGCCTGAATTCAATTCTTTTTTCAGGGAAGAAGAAGCCAAGCCAAGGGTCCTAACCTAACTAACACATGCCTATATCCAATTCTCATAATTGTCCATTTTCCTCATCCTTTTTTACCTATTGAAGATTTGTCACCGGTAGGACTGCAAACAAGTTGTTTACGAGCTATTCGACAATTGGGTGAGAGAAAATTCGCTAGAAATTCGAGTTGTTTAATAAATAAGTTGATCAGTTTCAGGTAAGCCTTGTTTAGTTCGTGAATCTCGTGAGTCAGTTCGACTTGGTGACTTGTTGAACACAATTTTTGAGGTGGCTCGTTTTGAGCTCATCATATAGTGTTTAGTGAGTCAACTTGACTATAGACTTATAAGGGAATTGATCTGTGTATCTGATGTTTTGGTTTGTTGATAGCTCATAGATTTGTAAAATTATACATCTAACCCCTTATGATGCTTAAGATTTTGAGCATGTGAGCAAATATGTCTCAATTATCATTTAAAAAAGGAATTATGTATCATAGATTAGGTATATACGAATTACTATGAAATAAAATAATATGAAATAGTTGACATTTATGAACTAAATAATATTATACAAATATAATCATAGAATGAGTTAATGATGAAAAATTGACTATATTATTATATTATAATTATAATTATTTTAGAATTTAGTTTAAAAGTTCAACTGTATTATAATTTACAAGTATCATACATAATATACAAATATCGATTGATTAACCGAAACATATTTGGTGCATTGCACTCACAACTCGGATGAATCTGTAAATTTTTCAAATGGTTTCCAAACACATTGTTAACTACTCATAACAATTTTCTTCCAAAAAAAAAAAAAACTACTCATAACAATAACAAATATTTTGCATGCACACGAAATTCAATACATAATAAGAGAACATAGTTCATCAACATTTACCTCCGGTCGTTTTCAAGTGACCGATTTCAACTGCTGGTATTTGCAGAGGAATCTCATTTCTGATTTCACACTTCGAATTTAGAAAAACTCTAAAAGATAGATGGGATAAAACTTGATCAAGAGGGCAGAAAATGGTGAAAAATGAAGAAGTGGATAGCAGTTGGCAGATAAGAGTTTTTGCCTTTCTTGTTCAGCAATACAAGGAATAGTCATAAATAGAAGCCAAAAGAAAAGAAGGCGGGTGGGTAAAAAATGGGTTATGGCGCCATGAATGAATGACTAATATCCCCGTAACAGTCCCAATCCCCAAAACACGTATTTGCTTCTGTAATGTAAAATCCCCCTTTCCTCTTTCCTTTCCGTGCTGCCTCAATGTCAACGGTCTAATTAATACTACCAATACCACCCCTTCTCTCTCTCTCTTCCTCTTTCCTTATATAAAGCCAGAGTTGCAGAGCTAGGCCCCCTCCATTCATAACTTGCTCCCAAAGCTAGCAAAACCCCCCATTGATAACCAGAAGAAGAAGATCAGCTGAAGAACCAGAGGAAGAAGATTAAGAAGAAACGAAGGAGAAAGGAAATGAAGCTGATTTGGTCCCCTGAATTGGCTACAAAAGCCTACCTCGATACTGTTAAAGCAGTAAGCCAGCCAGATTCCTTTCTGTAAGACTGAATGAATAATTGTGTTTTAGGTTTTTTTTTCCCCCTTCGATTCTGATTTCGCCTTCTTCTGGATGGCGATTTTTAATTCCTGGTTTTTTTTTGGGTTTTGACAGTGTGGGATTAGTCAGGAATCCGGCGTAGCAGAGCTGGTTTCAGCTATGGCGGCGGGCTGGAACGCGAAATTCATCGTGGAGACGTGGTCCCACGGCGGGCCGGTGGCTACCAGCATCGGGCTCGCGGTCGCCAGCCGCCACTCCGGCGGGCGCCACGTCTGCGTTGTCCCGGACGAGGATTCCAGATCGGAGTATATGCGAGCCCTGCGTCAGGCGGCGGCGACGGCGGCTGGCGGTGGGAATTCGATTGATGTCCCGGCGGGCGGTGAGGTTGTGGTCGGGGAGCCGGAGGAGGTGATGCGGGGGCTGGCCGGAATCGATTTCCTGGTGGTGGATTCGCGGCGGAAGGACTTCGCTAGGGTTTTGAGGGCAGCGAGGCTCAGCGGCAGGGGAGCGGTGCTGGTTTGCAAGAACGCTGGTTCGAAGCAGTCGGCGAGCTTTCGGTGGCGGAGCGTGATGGACGGCGGGTCGACCCGGCGGTTGGTCCGGTCGGTTTATCTGCCGGTTGGGAAGGGGCTGGATATTGCACACGTGGCGACCAGCGGGGCGGGTAATTCTTCCGGCGGCGGCGGGGGGCAGAGTAAAGGGCAGAGCCGGTGGATCAAGCATGTTGACAGAGAGTCAGGGGAGCTTCATGTCATCAGAAAGTGAAGAATTCAGACTTCTTTTCGATGAATTCCATCGGTGGGAAAAAAAAGTTACTGCTTGGAGTATGTACAGAAGTGGTGGTTAGCAAGATTACCGTAATTTCTTTCTTTTTTTTACCATTAGTTGAATTTTGCTGACCATGATCAAGTTGGCTTTGTAAATTACTGTTTTAACTTTGGGGACTAACTATGAATGAGGTGTAGTCGGCGAAACAAAAGTTGGTGATCAACTGATCATAATCAAGTTGGCTTTGTAAGATGCATTTTGCTGACCATAATCAAGTTAGTCTTTTATGAGTTTTACCATTAGATGCATTTTGTTTTATTCCCTTTTATTTCATGGATCAATTTGACTATGATGAAAGAGTTTCGAATACTGATACCTACTTGATCGTTGAATTGGAAAGATACATTTTACATTTCTAAAATCGTTTGATTGAATGAATTCTTGAATTAAACGATTGAAAAGCGATAACGACGACGTTTAAGGGTTAAGATTGTGTTTTTCAACATAATGAATTTATAGGACGATGATAAAAAGAAGTACTAGAAACTTATTAAAAATATATTCGATGGGAATGAGATGATGATAGAATCTAAATAACCACTAGAACTCGGGTCGTTTGCTTGTTGGGTATATTCATGAGACTTTTTATTTATTGTGGATTAAAATAATTATTGTTTACTCGTTGAATTCGATGGTGAATTTGATTTATGAGTATGAAACACAAATTTACATGTTTCATGTTTGAGGATCTTACGGATTTGAAATCTCCAAATCCACGTACCCACTAATTTGCTACTCGACAATCTATAATGAATTTAATTTGGGCTAAATCCATCCTCCAAATCAACAAAACAACCCAACCTAAGGTGAAAAACTGAAAATGGTAACTTAATTAGACTATTGCAATATATCGACTATAGGGTTTGCAAGCCTGCCTAGAAGAGTGCTTGCGACTACTCGACCGGTAAGCTCTGAAGGATCGGCCAAAGCAGCGAATGGGAAGGTCCATCTGGAAGAAACCCTAAAGCTGTATTTAACCCTAAAGGTTCCTTATCTGCCTCTTCCCTGGTTCTCTTCTTTTCCCCTCACGTCAGTGGCCATATTCAATCTCGCCGCTGCGCCGTCGCTATCGTGCCTCCGCCTTTCTAGTTCGGTCTATTCAGAGACCCGCTCTTCTTCTCTCCGCCAGTCTGCCTCACCTATCTGACATTAGTGTCTTCAGTGTGAGCACCTCTACCTCAGACTTGTGCTTCTGGGTTTTCTTGTGGTTTACGTCTCCTCATATTTGGTTCTGGGTCTCTGTGTTCTGCTCGGAGGTTCTGGGACTTGTGACGAAATTCCATTGTAGTTGGGCATAGAAGCTGGCTGATTCATTGCGATGGGGTTTGCTATTTCTGAGAATTTTCAGAAAGGAAGCATTTTGACGACTAACAGAAGGAGTATCTAGTCAAATGCTTATACTACCAGTTTTTTGGTTTCCCATTAGGGTTAAATATCTTGTTATTTTTGCTGGTCTTGGGAAGTGATTTTGGGACTCTGGTGTTCTTGCTATTTTGATTTCTTCTTTAATTGGTAGCCAGCTAGGAGATGATCTGGGCATGCCTTGTTCTCATAGCGAAATCGATCAGGCCAATGTGCTGTAAGGATGGGTGTTTAGGATTGCTACTGTTGTGGTTTCTTGTAATTTCTGTTTCCCTTGCACTGATCCTCTGGTTGTGATGATCATAGCCTTCCAGTGTTGTGGTTGACATTCTGCTTCGGGTTCACCTCGTGTCTTTGTTTAATCTGATCATCTACCTTACTGTGAAGTGTGTTGTACATAGAACTTTGGCGCTGCTTACTTGTTTTACTCTTCCTGGAGAATGATGGACTGTGAGATAGCTGATGATGGAGAGGTCTACATCGAGGATGCTGACATAATCGCTGAGACTACCCTTGATGATGAAGGTACTGCTTTGTGTCCCAATATCTATTGCTATTACCTGTGGGTTTTACTCTGCTTTCTTACCGGATCATGAATTATCTGCTTGCAGATCTTCCTGATTGCAGTGATGAAGACGACGAGTATGATGAACAAGCTGACTTTGATGGTATTGTTTTTGTGATGATTTGAATATTGTGGTTATAATGTTTCTTTAACTCTAAACTAAAACCCATATTATGCTTTCTTTATCAGAGGACCTGGGTGATTCAATATACAAATTTACTGGCCATACATGTAAGGGATATTGCTGTTGAGTTAAACTAGCGAATAGTCATTCTGTGATCAACTATTCTGCAACCCCTCCTTGGTTGAATTTATGGCTTCTGTGATGCAATGTTTAGTACCTTTGGTGTGTAGCTGGAGTATTTGCTCTTGCATGCAGCCCGACAAATCCTTTGTTGGTAGCAACTGGAGGTGGTGATGACCGAGGATTTCTTTGGAAGATAGGACAGGGAGATTGGGGTGCTGAATTGGGAGGTATTTACAATATGCATGAATCGCTTATTAACTTTGACTGGTGTTCTCTCTTGATTCATTCTTCTGGGAGTCGTCAAATCGTAGTGTATGCATTTACATGCTCTTTATTGAATGTCTTTTTGTAATTCTTTCAAGGTCATAAGGATACTGTCACTAGCATAGCATTTAGCAGTGACGGACAGTTTGTTGCTTCTGGGGGATTTGATTCTGTTGTTAATGTCTGGGATGCATCTGGAAATTTCAAATGTAAGCTTGAAGTACCTGTCCCGGATGAGAAAATGAAGAAAAAAGCACCTCCTACTGGGGGCTTTGAGGTTCGACGATTCTGTATCCCTAATCGATCGTATTCTGCATATTAATATGTGATCTAGAGATCCTGATTATGTAACTTATATTCACAGTGGGTCAGTTGGCATCCTACAGATCATGTAGTCTTGGCTGGTTCAAATGATTTCTCTTTTTTTGGTAAAACAAATGATTTCTCTGCTGGGATGTGGGGACTCAACACAGGTGCTTTCACTGAATTGTCTGGCCACAGGGGAAGTATTACCTGTGGAGATTTCACACCTGATGGTATTGGGATGTTCTTCAATGTTGTTGTTGGTTTATTTCTAAGACAACTTTCCATACATCTTTACATTAGCTGCATTTCTGAAATATTATTCCTTTCATTTGAGTGATGAAGGCAAAACCATATGCACTGGTTCCAGTGATTTGACTTTGAGAATATGGAGTTCAGAAACTGGGGATCCTATATATGTTGTAGGAGGTAACATATGCAAATTCTTCAGATTGATATTTCAGTTTGCTTATATGTTGGTCTCTTGTACTAGGACAGGCATACTGAAACTCAATTCTTTTACAAGTCAATATCCAATGATAGACATAATTGAGTGCTAGTTTAGTTAACAGCCGCAGTGGTCAATTGATTTGAATACAAGGGGTCTTGTTGCGCTTTATCTGTAACCTCTTTTCAAAGGTACCAGTTAGTTCTGGTTTGCTTACTTCTTTGAGGATGATTTTTGACTTGCTTGCATAACTTTTTTTGGTTGCAAGGCCATCCCTATCACAATAAGGGACTAACTTGCTTAGCCATCACCTCTGATTCACGTTGTGCTCTGACTGGTTCTGAGGATGGTTCTGTGAAAATTGTGAACATTAAGACTGGGAAGGTTTGAAACTTCTTGTCATGGCCAACATTATTTGTCACCCCCCTGTTAGTTTATAACACTTGACCTATTTCAACATTGTTTAAGAACAGGTGGTCGGTACTTTATCACCTGGTCACTCAGATGCAGTTAAATGCATCGGTTTGTCACGTTCGCCAAGGTATGGCCAATGCCCTCTGCCCCTGTGTATTGTTCACCTCGAGGGGTTCTGTCTTCTAATCCAACATCCTCCTGAATGCAACGATATCCATGATCAGCTTCTTCCCTTGTGCGGCGACTGGGGGCAAAGATGAGAGACTTGTTATCTGGGATCTTGAACGTTCATCTCCTCGCAGCATATGCAACCTTGAGGTCTGCTCATACGTTACCTTTTATCGTTACATTTTGTTTGCGATGTTGTGACCTGTGTATATCTGCTTCGAAAACCACCAGTTGTAACTGGAAGGAGGGTATGTGTTGGTGCAGAGTGAAGTGACGTGCTTGACATGGATAGGCACGTCAAGGTATGTGGCCGCTGGATGTGCAGATGGGGATATAGTGATATGGGACGCTCTGTCTGGAGACAAGGTGAAGACATTTAGGGGGCACAGCGAATGCATAGAGTCTTTGTCCGTGAGCTGTAATCAAGATTTTCTGGTTTCGGGATCGGCGTCGGCCTCAGGAGATGCTACTGATAGTCATGGTACTGCCAGAGTCTTTGAGATTGCAGGATACAGATAACAAGAAGCGCCTCCATTTTCCCCAATATTTAAGGACAGGATTGATAGTAGTTTTTTCCCCACTTTAGATTTGCTGCATTCTGAGGGATTCACAGAAGGTTATTTTTCTGTTATTTTCCTAATAATTTTATGTTTTACATCTTTGGAGCCTGGAGGTCCGCCATGCTTGACTGGTAGGAGGTGTCAAGCTCGGGGGGTCTTGATGAGTAGAGTGTCCATGCTTGTGATGGCTTCATTGACTAGCCATCAGGCTTGACACCTAGGAAAGATTATTCTGTTTGAACTTTGACGGTCTCGGTGACTTGATGAAGAGGGGGTCAAGAATGTATCATCATGGAAGCTCAACATGGACAAATGTCCATCTCTCATGATTCGATTTAAATCAATTTATTTAACACTATATAATTAACCATTGTATCTCTTCCAAAAACAAGTTTCAATTTTTATTGGGTTATTGAGAAATTTAGGGTTTTCCAAGCAATAAACTTGGACTCACTTATCAATGCAAAGGATAGGTGGAACGCTCTAGATGACGCTCTTTTGTCTGAGGTTCAGGTCATTTGCTCACTCTAGAGTGTCACGTTTCATTTCGCATTACGTAAAATATATGGAGTTGTCCATGTCATGGCAAAACAAATCCTTTTTTCGTCGGATAAGTTGACCAACACTTCATTTCCTCTGTCCGGGAATGAAAGAGAGAAAAAATGCCTACGGGGTTAGAAACCAACCACCACTGCATGGTTAATTACGGCGCAAAGATACAAGGTGGTCACGCTTGAGTAACAGAAACAAGAAGAGAGTAATAGGAATTTGGAAATTGCAGTAAAACTGTAAAACCCATACTACATGGTCAAAAGTCAAAACACATTATCCAAACTACACATCTCAGTTCTCAACAACACATCCATTTCAAGATGAATTAATTGAATGCACAATGTCACTATTTGGAACAATATACCTAGTTACCTACAAGTGCTGCTTCACAGCAATCGAATGAGTTTCGTGACAGAATGTGGAAACTGGAAGATGTAGGGCAGAACTCTGTCTACTAAAAGAATTCAAAGAAACCATTTCTTTGAGCCTTGTTTTGCCAGTGTATGTATACTGGTATTGTGGCAAGTGCTTGTGTTTTTTATACCGATCGTCCTACAATCCACAGACGTATAGTGATGATGAAATCAAAATGAGGACTAATCAATCCAACGAAAGAGGAACATTTTGATAATCTGTTGAGGGAGCAATTAGGAGCCTTACAAGTATTGATAATCAGCCATTCAGTCCCAGTTGTCTCGGCCTCTTCTAAAAGCTTTCTTATCCGAAAGAACCTTCTTGCTTTTCAGTCTCCTCTGCTCACCTATGGCAGCTCTTTATCCCCCAAAAAATGCAAGTAGCCAAACACGTCATTTTTCTTCCATATCAAGCAGACTGCATAATCATAACTGAAATAGCACTTACAGCTTTGCAATCTTCTTCTTTTGCTCTTCTGAAGGAGGCGGTGGAACATAAGAGGCAGCTTTGATGATTTCCTGTTTAATTTAACGGGAACAAACAAGACAAATAAACTACTTTTGCTTCGATTATGACAAACTTAACATGACAATACTTCATACCTGCAGTTTTTCCAAGGCATCATCAATATTACCCCTGAGGACAAGTTGCAATGAGATCAGTGCTTCAGAGTTTAGACACAAATAAGCAGAAACAACAATTAGAGGACGGAACCGACTGAAACAACGAAAGCTAATAAAAGGGGAGACATCAGGAAGCGAAAACTAACTTCTGGGTTCTGGTCCTTGTTGAAGAAATGACAATTTCGCCATCTTTGTTGATTCTGTTCTTCTCCTGCCATGCAAAAAACATAGTATCTTATCCACAGAGAAGGCTAGAGGAAAGAAATCCAGAACAGTGCGATGGTTAACTTTATTTACTAGTTCATCTAACCGTGCTCAACAATACCCCCAGATGAAGTCGTGTACAGAAGATTCAAGCAATTATAGGAACCCAATTAATCATTTCCTAGTTCTCTTGCCCTTTCTCATTTCAGCTTAGCTAAAGAATCTTTAGTTGGACTAAGATTCAAAACTTATGTATACTTATTCATAGGTCTTCATATTGTGTTCCCTACCATAAGAGCGAATGAAGTAGAGGCAAACCGTTTGCAATATCTTCTCCTTGATCCTGTCACTTAGCCAGTGCGCATTTTTAACGTTGAAGCGCATGTCCACTTTGGTGTTCACTACAAAAACCCAACAGCAAGGTAGCAAGTTTATGGTTAAGTAAGCACACAAAACACATATGCTTTTGCATACAGAATTCGCCGACCAGTAACAACATAGAGCGTGGCAGGGGAAAAGGTTAAGCTGAATACCTTTGTTCACATTCTGACCTCCAGGGCCACCACTTCTAGCGAAGCTAACAGTTACTTGGTCTGTATATGCATAAAAATTCGTTCATTAGGACGACTAATAAGAGTGCAAATGCATCAGAATGACAGGAGAGCAGATTTTAGACCATTTCAATAAAGACTGCTAAACCATATAGCAGCAACTAAGGGACATCTTGAAGCCTAGGATAGACATTGGCGCACACCAATTTAAGGGGTATTAATCATACGCAGAGATTAGGGCTAAGGAAATGAATTTCTAGGGTTTGGTAAATGGGCTGATGATCGATAATCTTCAATTCTTATGGATGATGCTACACAAATGCACACCAAAATAATCACCGGATCGAGATAGTAGCAGGGAGAAACCATAATTGGATTCAGAGTTTCCTGGAAGTACCGAGAGTGATTTGAGGAATAGGTTCGCAGCCGGCGGAGCTAGCCCTTTCCTCGGCTTCATGGAGTAGCTGGTGAACTTGAGAGAGGCGAGCGGAGACCTTCTTGTCGTCGGAGGACGCCGCCGCGCAGATGGCTTTGGCGGAGCTGATTTGACGGTGGGTGTAGTGAAGAGCGGTGGAGCTCAACGGCGAGAGAGACGGCGGCGTAAAAAAAGAAGAAGAAGGGAAATGGCGGGAATTGAAAGCTCGGAGAATCATCATGCTGGTTATAGCTCTGGCAACTGCCATCCTTGTTCCCCAAAATTTTCCTCCTTCCATTTTGTTGGACTATCTATACCTCTGGTTCTGGAAGGCCGTTAATTGGTATATTACACCTCTGGTTGTGGGCTGACTACTTTTGGGCCTGACATTTCGTCACATCCGGCCTAGTGCTTTTATGAATTGTGAGTAGAGCCGTTAATGAGCCGAGTCGAGCCGAGCTTTGTCATAGTTCGGGCTCGGCTCGTTCATATATTTCCAGGCTCGAGCTCGACTCGTGTTCGTCACGAGCTTTAATATGCAAGCTCGAGCTCGGCTCGTTTATGAAAATGAAAGCTCGAGCTCGACTCGAGCTTGGCTCGTCAAATAAGCTTAACGAGCCCAAATTCGAGTTCAGGTCATAAAATGTTCATGATAGCTCAAGATTGACCTAGAACTGCGCACAAAATTACATTCTAACCTGTAAAAAAGTCTAGCAAAGTATAACATAATATTTATCCCAATTTCAATACATAAAATCCATGAATTCTAATCCTTTTTTATGTCAAACCATTAAATGAGCTTGTTCGCGAGCTTTTGAGCTGAACATGGTATGGCTCGAGTTCGGCTCGTTTAGTTAACGAGCTTGTTCGCGAGCCGGCTCGATTAAAACGAATTGAGTGTCGAACGAGTTTTTCTCGAGTCGCACACCGAGCTGTTCATGAGCGGCTTGGTTCATTAACAGCCCTAACTGTGAGCCCTTTTCTCAATAGACATTTTTATTTTTGCAGCTTACATATTGCTCCTATTTTCGCAGAATGGAATCAAATTAAGAATAACCACACAAAGGTGTAAGTTTATTATAACAAGAACGAGAAATCAAACACAAGATCCAATGTTGCAAAGACAAACAAGGCAAAAAAAAGAAAGTCAAGACACACTGTTGTTGTACGCAACTGGAATCAAGCACAGTGGGCTATTTCTGCGCAATGTGATCCCAAACCTTTCGGACATGTCCAGCTCTTCGGGTTTCATTCCATCAGGAAGTTTCCAGTCGAAATGATAAAGCAAGTTGGCCAGTGCAAGCTGAACGATAGCCATCCCGAAGTACATTCCGGAACACATCCTTCTTCCCGCGCCAAACGGAATGAACTCGAAGTCTCTCCCCTTAAAGTCCATCGAGCAATCAAGAAATCTCTCCGGATAGAAGGTATCCGGATCAGCCCAGTAGCTCGGATCCCTCCCAATCGCCCAGACATTAACCATGACCTTAGTTCCGGTCGGGACCATATACCCACTGATCACCACATCCTCGATACTTTCTCTCGGAACAAGCAGAGGACCCGCCGGGTGCATCCTTAGAGCCTCCTTGATGACCGCATTCATGTACTTCAAGTCGTCCAGACCATGCTCTTCCACTTTCCCTTTCCCACCAATCGCTCCCCGGACTTCTTCCTGTGCCTTTTGAAGCACTCTGGGATTTTTCATCAGTTCAGACATGGTCCACTCCATCGTGGCTGATAGAGTTCCGCTAGCAGCCAGAAACAACTCCTAATACACATTCATGTTATTAGTAACTAGTTTGATCAACTTCTTTTTTATTTATTTAACAAAAGCAATATAAAACTGGTAAGGGTAATTAATAACTTACGGTAATGACTGCTTTAATGTGGTCATCCGTCAACGAAGATTCCATATCATCAGTACAATTCTCCTGTAGATCAAGAAGAACATCGACAAGATCATCTGCTGCTGCCTCCTTCTCTTTCCCTCCAGCGGCGGCGGCGGCTCTTCTGGCGGCTTTGTGCTCGTCGACTATCTCTTTGATCAGAGCATCCGCTTGGTGATGGAGACGGGTGACTTTTGCTCGGAACCCGGTCAACGCGGGCAGGAATTTGACCGAAGGGTATAAATCGGAGAGGTCCAGCCCACTGAGCAGGTCCGATCCACCGCTCACCAAGCCCATGAAGGACTTGGTGTTGTCTCGCACCACGCCGAATGCTGACCTGGCGATGACGCGGTTCATCGCCGGGAACAAGACCTCGGCGAAATTGATCGTCGTCGGGGTTTGTTGATTGGTCGATGAGTCAGCGATGCGGCGGACTAGATTGGCCGACAGCTCTTCTTCCCTGATGGAGCGGTAGGAGAGGACGCGCTTGTTGCTGAGTAGCTCCGCGGTGGCGATCTTCCGCATCAGCTTCCAGTACTCGCCGTAGGGAGTGAATGAGATGCCCTTTCCGCCGTAGTAAAAGATGTTGGCGGCCAGAATGAAGGGCCTGGAGTAGTCATGGCATTATAAAATGTAACGGAATATAAAGCGCCAAATACGCGAAAAAATGAGATGGTTGTATGATGGTATGAGAATGGAATTTTTTTAAATGTGTAAAAAACTAAAAATACGTATACGAGTATATTTTATTGATATTAGTCGGTTATTTACAATTTTGTCTTGTTAGATATTGTTTTCAGTGAATACATGGATTGTCCAAAACTATTGTTTATATGTGTTTTATAAATTAATATATGTACTTTGTGTAGGTTCCACCTAAAATCAACATAAAAGAAGGATTGTGCAATCCCAACTGAATTGTTGGTTTTATGTTTGGGGGTTTTTTCCCCATTAATATTTATTTTATATTAAAAGTAGAAGGTAAATTAACATTTCTATTTAATTAATCCATAAACAAAACAAAAAAAAATTACAAGAAAAAACTAAAAATCCAGGTATTATATAGGACATTTCTCCTTTTTTCATTAATATTTAATACATCTATTTGTATTATGATCCATAAGAATATAACAATTTAACTTAGGGTGGGTTTGGATCGGAGAATTTGAATTTTTTTTATTTGGGATTTATATCATTAGTTTTTCGACAATTTTAAGTTGTGACAAAAAAAAACTCAAAATTGAAAAAAAATCACATAAAATAAAAAAAAAAGAAATCCAAATTATATGTATTTAAAATACATACATATGAAAAATATATCTATTAAATACACCCCTACACCACTTCCAAATCACGTTTAAACGTTTCATTAACTAAAATTATTATATGTACCTGGAAGCGAGAGGTGCATCATGTGTTTTCAAGACTTCCTTGGCAGCCTCCGCGGAGGAAATCACCACGTGGCGCAGTTCTCCGAGCTGGAGGTGCATCACGGGCCCGTATTTTTGGGCCAGTTCTCGAAGTCGGTGATGGGGCGGCTTTGAGCCCATCAAATGGTGGAGGTTGCCTATGATGGGGAGCTTCCATGGGCCTGGCGGTAAATTTGATACTCTTTTCGACGATCTCTTTAGAATCAAGTTGGTTACGAACAGGATGACAGTAAATGAGAGGAGGAGCTGGATAGTAGATTGAGAGAGGTATAAAGTCTGCAACTCCATGGTCACACAAGCCAGTGAAGCCACCACCGTGAATTTATGAATGATGTCTAGTTATTTTGCTTGAAATAGATGGCTGGGTTAATATAGTTGCAAAGGAATATTTACCTAAGGAAACAAAAAACAAATAAAATTTATTAATAAATATGGAATCAATATAATAACAAAATATAAAGAAAAAGAAAAAAGAAAGGAAACAAAATCTATAAGAATCATCAAAATAAAGAAGCAAAATAAATAAAATTCAATAAGAAAAAAGGAAACAAAATCAGCAAAGGTGATAACTGATAACAAGCAAAAAAAAGAAGGAATCAAGATAAGCATTATGTAGAATATAAGGGAAGGGAATAAGAAAAAAAAATCAAAATTTGAAGAAGAAAAAAAAAAGTGTCAGTAAAATTGTACCGTATCGAAGGCTCGATAAAAAAAAACCTCTCTATCAAAACCAAGGTTGTCAACCCGCGGGTTGACCCGGTCGAACTAGTGGGTCAAGGGTTAATGGGTCAACCGTTTTAGCCCGGTTTGGCTCGGAAATATGAAAAAGTCATTATATTGTACTTATCCTTATAAATTATATCATATCTTATCTAACATATGAGTTATAACATATAATATTACACCAAAATAACATATCGTACTTAGATCTAACATAAAGAGAAAATTCACACACACTTATACAACATCAATATTCAAATATTCAACTTAGGATTCCATAGATTGAGTTAGGCGAAAAGAAAAATCGGAAAATAGGCGCATTTCGCAATCCAAAGAAAAAAATGACACAATTTGACTTTCAGCCCGATACCTTGTAGCGGTCGACCCGGCGGGTACGTACGGCCCGTTTTTCTCACCGGGTCAGGGTCAAAGTGGGTCGACCCGCGGGTTGACAACCTTGATCAAAACCAAAAATCAATGAGATCTCTCAAGTGGTGGAGGATCATCACCTCCACTCCAGTCTCCCTTTGGCTATCTAACTAATGCATGCAAGAGGGGATTTATGGATGAGTAAGAGAGAGCGATAAATAGTTAGATGACAGAGAAATGAATAAAGGAAGACAAGCGGCTCATGTGCATTCGTTGCATGGATTGCAGCCTACACATGTATAACAACAAAATTATACTCTTTGTGCATGGAAGCCAACTCTTCTTTCTATCTCCTTCTCTTCCGTTTTAGTTGACCCTCATAATTAATCATTAATTAGCTCTTATATCTACTACTTCAACAGAAATTTATGACTCTTCCTTCCATACTTGCTATAAGGTCGCACTAATTTTGAAGTTATAGTGACATTTATGGTTTTACAATAAGGATGAGCATTGGTTTTACTTGGACTCTGTGGTCTAAAAAGTACTACTTATAAGAGACTTTTTTTTAATCCTTATACCAATTTTCTTATAAGTGTATTTCTTTCAGTAGTTAGTTGTCTTTTGTAATTTTTTTGTTCTCATTTCCTACGCCCAATTTTAGAGCTAACCTTATTCCCTATAATTGCTATCTAGGAACTTTTTGTTTCTTAAAAATTTTATTTCAGATTACGGAATATTTACAAATGCATTAACTTAATTACAAATATATTACGTAAAACTTATGAAGATAATTCATTTTTTATATATTAGTTATCGTTCTTCTTTTATGATGCAGACACTATGCAAAAAATATGTGGTAACTAAATTACAAATACATTACGTAAAACTTATAAAAGGGTAATTATTCTTTGCGTATCAGTTAAACAAGCGTATCACATAAGTTTTGCATAAGACACTACGTAAAACTTAGGAGGGTATCTTACCCGAACTATTTTGTAAATTACTCTATTTCAACCGAATCATTGAAAAATTAGATGAAATTTTAAATATAATATTTTTTTTACCGCAGCGAAGCACGGGTCATAGAACTAGTAGTATATTAAAAAGGACGAATTACAATCGCCAAGTTGGTTTAACGAGGTTGGTTTCCTGAAGGGTCGTTTGTATGAAAAATTCTAGTGGATCACATATGTCTCGTTTTCAGACAATTGGGTTTGATTGATTTGCTTGGTAGCATAAAATTTGGATGAAACAATTTGACCTGGAGAATTTCGAACTGACTCGTTTTTAGACAAATATTTGAAGATCTCATGTACGATTCGAATTACCTGACTCGTTTTTAGACAATTACACAATTATCTAAAAACGAGTCAGGTAATTCGAATCGTACATGAGATCTTCAAATATGCTCTCTAATAGTTTGAGCCTTCATTAGGCAACTGCATGATGCATATATAGCACTTCTATCTATCCCTTTGCTGCTCCTGCTCATGGTGAAATATAAAGCCTATAGGAGACAGGAAGGAGATAAAGAAAGAGCAGATATAGATCAATGATTTAAGGAAGAGCAGATAATCCAATTCTAGCAAAGATCGTAGCAATATTAATCAATCGCAAATCGACTACTGATTCATTCAGATTAAGGGGATACAGTACAGATGTAGCATACATTAAAACCGATTTCAACAACAACAACAACATATGAGATAATATGAAATTCACTCTCTTATTGACATCCTTAGTTTAAGCAGCTCACTCCATAAACTCTTGTATCAAACAAAGACGACAACAATAGTACTCAAAACCTTGTACCCATCATCACCAATAGAGTACCAGGCCAAGGAACCTTGACCAACGTTACTGCTTCTTGTCACATTGTCATCCAACCTGGTAAATGTCACGGTATAGCTCGCCTTCTCTTTCACCTCCTTGAACCTCATCACACTAGGCACGACTTCGACAGCAACCCCTTCAGGTGATGAAACCTTACTGAAGTAGGTCGAGAAAGGTCGACCCACATTAGTAACCGTTCGAGTGTAAGTCATTTGATCACCAGTGTACAACGTCACAAAAAATGTCGGGTAGTTCAGCTCAGCCTCCGGTTTCGAAGTAATTCCCCTCGAGCAATTCACTTTTCGCTGCACGATAAACCTCACCTGCTGCTCGCTGTAAACCCAACCCGCAGAGGTAAGGAATGTAGTCGTCTGGCTCGATATCGTAAACCAGCCCGGGGTGCAATGCCCTCGATGCGTCCACGTGACCCGAACCCATGTCGAAGACCGTGGCAGAAACGTTCTTCTCGGTGGAGATCGGGTTGTTGTTGAGGTCGAAGGTGTAGGCAGTCGTCATAATTGCCGATTTTATCGCTGCAGGGGACCAATCAGGGTGAGCACTCTTGATCAGAGCTGCGACCCCGCTCAGATGTGGACACGACATTGAAGTTCCTGATTCGATTTTGAACGGTTTGGTAGCATTGTCAATTGAGACCCCCCAAGCAGACAGAATGTCGACCCCGGGGCCAATGATGTCGGGCTTCAGGATCCCAGGAGATTGCAGGCTAGGACCTCGAGCAGAGAACGAGGCGATTCGCGGAGCAGTTTGTGATGACTTGCCAATCAAGGTACCTTGGAATGAGATTGTTGCAGTGGGGGATTGCGTGGAGGACAAGTAATCCTTGAGCACCAATCCATCCCTGTAACTGAGGTATGATGCAGGGAGAACATGTGCATAAGCAAAAGTAGTGTATCCACCAGGCTGGTAATTGAGCACGATCATGGCTGCGCCGCCATTGTTCTTCACTTCTTGCCCCATGTCCTCGGTTCCCTCACTTCCAATTTGGCATATGACTATCTTGCCTTCAACATCAATGTTCTTCAGTGACCCTTTCGCACAAAAGGCTGCTGATTCGTTCTTGCCAGTTGCAGCAGGATCGACGATTGGGAGTTGCTGCTGTGAATGGAAATCCTTAGGAAGGAAGAGGGACTGCCCATGGAGCTCCACATTGTTCCCCAGCTTCACTGTAGCTCTGACCTCCCTGTCGATCGTGCTCGCTCCAACGGTCAGCATCCATGGCGCATCGTTGATCACAGTAGACGCCCAAGGTCCTGCATTTCCAGCTGAGCAGCTCACAAAGATGCCCTTTTGAATGGCTCTAAATGTACCCAGCGCGACCCCATCGTTGTAGAATGGGAAAGGACGTGGAGGTCCAAGCGAGATTGAGAGCACATCAACGCCATCATCAATAGCAGCATCGATTGCTGCCAATGCATCACCTTCGTCGCAGAAATCTCCACAGGCCTTGTACATTGCCAAATGTGCTCTAGGCGCGATCCCCGTGGCTGTCCCATTCGCTTGTCCAAACACGTTGGCACCATCTACAGGGCACCCTGCAGCTATCCCTGAAGTATGACTCCCATGGTAGATTTCTTCCCACGGTAGATCAGTGCCTCGATCAGCAGTAGAGACGAAGCTTCGAGCACCAACGAGCTTGTTGTTACATGTTTGCTTGCCGTTGAAGTCACACCTGCCTCTCCATTTGGCAGGCGGGGGAGGCATGTCTTTGTCGGAGAAAGAAGCGTGATCGTACTTTATCCCCGAGTCAATCATACCAATGATCACTCCCTCTCCGTAATTCGAGGCGTTCCAAGCTCCTAGCTTCGTTGGCCTCCGTGGCAGCCCGAGAAACTTGGGAGTGAGGGTTGTGTGTAGTGAGAAAGAGCGCTGGACGCGGGCTGAGATGAAGCCTTCCTTCTGTTCCATTGCTTTGGCTTCCTGTGGTGTGAGCCTAGCTGCGAAGCCTGTGATCACATTGCGGTAGGAGTGGACGATTCGTGGTTGGTTCGAGCTTAGACTCGAAGTAGTTTCCGGGAGGAATGTGGTGTACCAGTCATGTAGGTTGGATTCTAGCAGGTTTTCTGGTTTCTCTACAAACACAATGTAGGTTTCCAAGTTGGTTTGCGTGGAGGAAACTGATGCTTCCTGGGAGAAGGTGGAGAAGAAGAGTGTGGAAGTTAAAGTGAGGAGGAAAAGGGTTTTCATTGTCCCCATTTCTTTTCCCTAGTAATCACCAAGCTGGTTTATTTCGAGGTTGCTTGCTGCTATGTGACTGAACATAGATTATCAATATATATAGTAAACTATTTGGCCTTTTTAACTCTTTACTGATGAGGGTTTTGAGACAAAGGTAAAAACTATCTGTTTCAGTCAGTTGCATTGCATGTCACAGTCTGCAAGATGAACTAGTGAGACATTCCTTAAGTAAAAGACAAACCGGCAGGTGGCAGGCATTGTCTCTGTAGTTTCCATTGATGATAATAGTTAAGGAATCAGTAAGGAATAGATATGGCAAATTGATTTCTTCTACGTTAGGAAGTGCTACATTATTCACTGGTTTAGTGTCTGCTTTGAGAGGGGTTGGGGACTGGGGATTGGATTTGGGGCTGAAGTTTTATCGTTATTTAACTTAGTACTAATATGGTTCCATAACTACTTATGTTCTTGTCATATTGAAGGCTGAAAATGCTTTGGATTGACTTGTATTTTCACAGAGTATGTAGGGTATATGCTGAGGAATAATTAAGTGGGATTAGTGCAGCGGCGGATCCAGAACACAAAAGAGCACTGGGCCGCATTTTATTAGAAAATTAGAACCATAAAAAAATTAATGATTATAGTTTTTTTACAATGTAAATTGTACACAACGGTATCTTAATTTAGAAAATGTATCAATAATGTAGTCCACATCCATACCAATAGTATACACTGTCCCAAATAAAATACTTGAGCAATTGGCAAGAAATTCATCGCTCATTTATTGTGCATATCAGTTTTTACATGTTTCTTTGTTCAAAAGGTTCTCTGAGGTTCTCTCTGTAGTTGTTGAAACGAGCAGCATCAACACTAGACAAATCAATATCAATTTGCATTATGTGTCCATCCCTATACCACCAGTTGTCTAGTAAATTTTCAAGGTAACAAACCTTATATTTCTTTTAGTCTGTTATGCTTTAGAATTTTAGGTTTCAATGTTTTTTTTAGACGAAAAATCTTTGGGGCTAGAATTTCTTGGCTAAATTTAGAGTAGTGATTTGAATATGTTCATCTAAATCAATTTGCTAATTATATCCAATTTTATTATAAAAATAGCATTGGGCCGAATACCTAATATCAAAAAATTCATAAGGCCTATACTAACTATGGATCCAGAGGAGGGCTGGGCCGGGACCCGGGGTGGCCACCCCCTGGATCCGCCACTGGATTAGTGCTATCATGCTCACAATAGATGGTGATGGATCAACTACTGAGGTCATAATTTGGAAATATGAGGAATGAATATTATTCATTCTGATTTGGTAACTAAGGACGGGTTGAGTATAGGTATAGGAATACCCGCCTAACTTCACCATGCTATTTTACTTTGCTAACTTGTGGAGAAGAAAAAAAGAGTTAGTGTTGTCATTGGATGAAACGAGGAAGGTGATACTTCTTCTAATTCGCGTGGTTTAGGACTTAGGAGTATCAAAATCATGATAATTTTAGTGTCTAAAGACCTTTAGTAGTTGATATATGAATTGTTAGATCGCACGGACAAATAATCTCTTATTCGTATCAACGTGGACTAGTGAGGTAGCCCTTCCATTCCACCCACTTTTACATTTGGGTCACATATTTTGTGTGTTTTTCAAATATAAAAAAACATGCCTCCACTTTTAAATTTTTACTCAGTCACTTTAGTTTTTTTTCCCCTACCTTTAAACACGCTACCTAAAGGCAAAGGGTGTGCAATGAGTTTGTTTGTATTAGACTGTATCGGACTAAAACGATGATTGAATTGGATCGGATCACACCAAATCGAAAATGAGTAATCCAATCTTTGATCCCATGAATTTTATAATTATTGAAAAATGAGATTTGTGCTATCATGCTCACCATAGATGGTGATGGATCAACTACTGAGGTCACAATTTGGAAAAATGAGGAATGAATATTTATTCATTCTGATTTGATAACTAAGGACGGGTTGAGTATAGGTATAGAAATATCGTCATTACTACATCATGCTATTTTACTTTACTAACTTGTGGAGAAGAAAAATGAATTAGTGTTGCCGGTAATACCCGATTCGCGTAAAGAGAGGGTCATTGGATGAAACGACTAAGTTGATACTTCTTCTAGTTCATGTTGTCTATGAGTATCAAAATCATGATAATTTTAGTGTCTAAAGACCTTTAGTAGTTGATATATGAATTGTTAGATCACACGGACAAATAATCACCTATCCGTATCAACGCGGACTACTAAGGTAGCCCTTCCATTCCACCCACTTTTACATTTGGGTCCCAAATTTCGTGTGTTTTTCAAATATAAAAAGCATGCCTCCACTTTTAAATTTTTACTCTATCACTTTAATTGTTTTGCCTACCTTTAAACACGCTAGTACGCTACCTAAAGGGTGTGCAATGGGTTTGTTCGTATTAGACTGTATCGAACTAAAACGATGATTGGATTGGATCACAACGATTCGAATATAATGTGATTCAGTCTTTGATCCCATAAATTTTATAATTATTGAAATTTTTTTGACCGAATTAACATTTCAATCAGACCAAATTTAATCCTAAAATGTTTTCACTATTGGATTTGGACCACACTTTGTTTGATTTTGGTACTCACCCAACCGGACTAAACAACACCCTAAAAATGGTATTAAAAAAGCAGCGAACGGGCCTGTATAAAAATGGACCAGGCAATTAAGTTAAGCCCAACGGAAAACAATACACTAATACAGCATGGGCGTAAAGTACTAACAGGCCCAATGTAGAAACCTTGGCTCTTAGTCGATCAAACAGAGGAGAAATGAGTTTGGCTCCTCTGTTCTTCCAAACACATCAATTTTCTGGGAACTTCTTGTTCCTTTTAACAAAAGTGAAAAGCCCATTTGTTTTGTATTTTCCTTGTTACGTTTCAATCAAAACCCTCAAACCCATTAGCTATCCCAACCTTTTCCCTTCTTCCATGGTGCGCGGTTTCATATTGATTCACCTAAGTGCTGCTAACCCATCTCCAGATCGATTTATTCCTAAAGTCACAGGCGATCCCTTTCTACAATCATCACCAAAGATCTTCGCAAGATGGAACCGACTGCTAATGATCGATTTCATCTAATATTAAGGAGTAGACATCAAACAAGCTGCTACATTGAACCGACCACAACAACAACAACAGTAGGTAAGACGAAATTTTTGCTCCCTTATTAGCATTCTGTATTTTAAGCGGTTCCCATAAACTCATTTTCAAACAAAGTTAACGGCAATAGTACTCGCAACCTCATACCGATCATCACCATCAGCAACAGCAGCAAGAGATGACCAGACCAAGGAACCTTGACCAACATCACTGCTTCTAGCCACATTATCCAACCTGGTAAACGTTACAGAGTAGCTGGCTTTCTCGTTCACCTCCTTGAACTTGATCTCACTAGGCACGATTGTGACTGCAACACCAGCCCCTTCCAGTGACCGAACCTTGCCGTAGTACGTCGAGTTAGGCTGGCCAACGTTAGTCACCGTTCTAGTGTATGTCTGATTTTCACCCCGAGCCAGCGAGATCGAGAATGTTGGGTAGTTCAGCTGAGCCTCCGGTATCGAAGATCCAGGACTCGAGCAGTTCACCTTTCGCTGCACGATCATTCTCACTTGCTTGTCGCTATAACCCAACCCACAGAGGTAAGGGATGTAGTCATCTGGCTCGATATCATAGACCAGCCCGGGGTTCAATGCCTTCGATGGGTTCACGTGGCCTGAACCCATGTCGAAAACTGTAGCAGAAACATTCTGCTCGTTCGAGATCGGGTGGCCACTGAGATCAAATGTGTAGGCAGTGGTCAAAATGGCCGACCTTATGGCAGCAGGGGACCAACGGGGATGAGCACTCTTGATCAGAGCTGCAACTCCACTGAGATGTGGGCAAGACATTGAAGTTCCCGATTCCACGCTGAATGGGGTTGTAGCATTGTCGATTGAGACTCCCCAAGCAGCCAAAATGTTGACCCCGGGGCCAATGATGTCGGGCTTCAGGATCCCCGGAGATTGCAGGCTAGGACCTCTAGAGGAGAACGAGGCGACTTGTGGAGCGATTTTCGACTTGCCAATCAAGGTACCTTGGAATGAGATTGCTGCAGTTGGGGACTGCGTGGAGTTCAAGTAACCCTTGACTACCAATCCATCATTGTAACCGAGGTATGATGCAGGGAGGAAATGAGCATCAGGAATAGTAGTGTCTCCATCTTTCACGCCATTGATAAAGATCACGCCTGCTCCTCCATTGTCCTTCACTTCTTTCCCCTGATCGGTTCTCAGAGCTCTCAATTTGGTCTGGCACATGACTATCTTGCCCTTAATATCAATATTCTTCAGTGACCCTTTACCACAATATGCTGCTGATGCACTATAGGTAGAAAGGTCCACAAGGGGCAGCTGCTTTGAGTGGAAGTCAGTAGGCTGGAAGAGGGACTGGCCATGGAGCTCCACATTGTTCCCCAACGTCACCGTTGCCCTGATCTCCCTATCGATTGTACTTGCTCCGACGGTTAGAATCCAAGGTGCCGCGTTGGTTACTGAGTTCGGGGAAGGTCCACCATTTCCAGCAGAGCAGCTCACAAAGATACCCTTCTGGATGGCTCTAAATGCTCCCAATACAAACAGATCATCAAAGAAAGGAAACCTGCCATTGAAGTAACCCATTGAGATTGAAAGCACATCAACGCCATCCTCAATAGCTGCATCAATTGCTGCCAATACGCTACTATCAGCCCCACGGACCTTGTACATTGCCAAGTGGGCTTTTGGCGCGATCCCCATGGCTGTTCCATTCGCTTGTCCAAACACATTGGCAGCTTCTACAGGGCTCCCTGCAGCTTCTGCTGCAGTATGACTCCCATGGAGTACTGCCTTCTCCACTGGGGTATCCCCGGCCCCTAAGAAGCTTCTAGCACCAAGGAGCTTGTTATTACATGTTTTCTTGCCGTTGAAGTCACACCTGCCTCTCCACCTGGCTGGCGGGGGAGACATGCCTTTGTCGAAGAAAGAAGGGTGATCGTGCTTTATCCCTGAGTCAATCAGGCCAATGATCACTCCCTTGCCGTAATGTGAGGACTTCCAAGGCCCTCCATTATGTTGCAGGCCAAGGAACTTGGGAGTGAAGGTTGTGTGAAAGGATACAGGTCGCTCGACTCTAGCCGAAATAAAGCCTTCCTTCTGTTCCATTGCTTTGGCCTCTTGCGGGGTGAGTTTAGCAGCAAAGCCTGTGATCACATTGCGGTAGGAATGGACGATCCGTTGTTTGCTTGGAACTATGTTTGAAGTAGTTTCTGAGAGGAATGTGGTGTACCACTCATGTAGATTGGATTCTAGTAGGCCTTCTGGTTTCTCTACAAACACAATGTAGGTTTCCATGCCGGTTATCCTGGAAGCCTCTGATGCTTCATGGGAAAAGGAGAAGGTGGGGAAGAACAATGTGGAAGCTAAAGTGAGGGAGATGAGGAAAAGGGCTTTCATTTTTTGTTTTCTTTTTTTGCACTGACCGAGTTGGTTTACATTGAGGTTGTTTTCTGCTATTGAAACTTGAACCCTGATGATCAATATATAGTGACAATGCTAGTCAAAGTAAAAATTGGCCTTTTTAACTCTAGTCTTTACTGAAGGAAGCTTGCGGAAGGGTGAAAGTAATTATCTGATCTGTTGCATGTCTCAATCTGCAGGATGTGTTAGTGAGACACTCCTCAAGTAAATGACAACCAGCTAATGGTTTCTAGTTATGATAATGGCCATGATACCAGCAATGGATGTGGTAAATTCCCTTCTTCTACATTACAAAATACTAATAATTTTGGTCACTAGCATCTATTTAGAAACCCCCTACAGGGCCACAGAGAATGTTGTAAACTACTTTTGTGGCATTTTCTGCATTATGATAATACTGTTGCTAGAGATGATGAGTAATGACATTTCGTCCATGTCCAGGAACGCAAAATATTTTCTTCTGGTATGGAGTGTTTCTTCCACGTCTGTGTTTAGTATCCTGGGCGAGTGGGACAATAGAAATTGGTTACGAAAGAAGATGATGGATCATCTGCAGGACAAACGGCAGAGATCAGTTTCCATAGGTTGGATCAACCGTTTCTCAACCTTTAATCAGTTCAAGAAAATTCATAGGAATTTTTCTATAACCTTTTATGCAAGATTGGACACTGGTATCCACATTCTTTTCTCATTCTGCCTGCAACCATCCAGGTATTTACATGCTGTATCGAAATACATGACTTTCGTAATGACTCCATTCACATGGAGTAGCTCTATTTCTCTTATCGCATTTGATATAGACTTCACGGTCACGATTCAAGTTCTCGCAGTTGCATGGCTAGTTTCTGCATACCTTGAACACTCAACCATGTGTGGAATCAGATATTATGTTCATATAGACTATAGTGGAACATATACTTAAGATTGCAGCGCAAGTACAAGTTTAAGCAGCAGTATGGAGATTATTGTCTTTTCTTCATCTGGCGTGTCATCAAGAAGCATAACCTCTTCCTCCACATCCAGAAGAATGGTGATGCTTGTCTCTGGCATCTGCACGATTCGCCTTCCCTCTGCCGGGTGGCTTACAACCAACCGTCCAATCATCGGCTTCGGATGTTCTGTCGAAGGACGTGCCCATCCTCCATGACCAACCTGTGGATTATTCTGGGCACTGCCAACAGCCCCTGAGCAATATGAGTTGGTAGCAGAAATGAGTTACCATATAAAGACAGTGGGTATACATTTGAGAAACAAAAAGATAGAACAGGAGTAACAAGTTCAAGCAGGCACATTACAGAATAACTAGACAAATGAGGGACTATCCAGAGTCTCAGACATCAAGAACAAGGACAGGCAGATCATGAAAAGTTCAAGCATACGACTCTTTTGCAGAAGAAACGGGGGGAAAACATAAAGCCACAATTTTACTGTTGAAGCTTCTTCCCCAGCCAAGCAAAGGAGATCAAACACTACCATTCCAAGCTTGTTTAAAATTAGGAAGTTCATCTAGACACACAAATGGGGGAAATTAGGCTACAGTGTACGTCATGCTGGGACAAAAAATAAGAAGTTAGAATTAGGAAGCTCACCTTGCTCAAGATTATGCAGGATCTGCTGTGCATCCACGTTCCCATCTGAGTTAAGCTTCCGTGCTAAGTTATGTAGGATTTGTTCATGTCCAGTAGTGTAGGATTTGTTCTTCTGTATGGGGATTTCTTTCATGTCTGTGTTTAGTTTTCCTTTGAGAGTAGGAAAAGAGAAATCGGTCACAAAAGTTGACGATGGATCAATTGTACAACAAGATGCAGGTTGGTTTTAGTTGTCCAATGCACGTCATGCTCGGCAATCTAGATGACCTTTTGCGTCCTCAGATTCTATGGTTTCTCGACCTTCGTTCGAGTTAAGAAAATTCATAGACTTTCTGATAATCTTTTATGTATTCGATCTTCGCCCGCTATTTTAATATCGAGATCTAACACTGGCATCTCCCTTCTTCATGCTACATCAAAATACACCTTTTTGTAATGGCTCCATTCATGTGGACTAGCTACTTACTCCAAAGATACAATGTTATGCAGATTGCTTGCAGAACAGATGGATAAATATGAAACTGTGCTCTCTTACTCTTATTGTAGTGTGCTTCAAGTAAAGTGGCTCGTGGTTCGTATATAAACTCCTCTTCAAACAAAGACAACCACATAGGTGCTCGTCACCACGTACTTACTACCATCATCATCATGACCAGCCCAAACCAAGTAACCTTGATGAACAGCAGTACTGTCACTTGCTGTCACATTCCCCAACCTGGTAAACGTAACAGAGTAACTCGCTTTCTCTCCCACCTCCTTGAACGACATCTCCCTAGGCGCGACTTCAACGTCGAGAATCCCTTTCCACGAACCAGCCACGCTCATGTACCTCGAGTTAGGCCGGCCAACATTAGTAACCGTTCGAGTGTACGTCTTCTTCTGCTCGCCAGCACCCAGCGAGATGGAGAATGTCGGGTAGTTCAGCTGAGCCTCCGGTATCGAAGACCCAGTACTCGAGCAGTTCACCTTCCGCTGCACGATCATTCTCACTTGCTTGTCGTCATAACCCAACCCACATAGGTAAGGAACGAAGTCATCCGGCTCGATATCGTAGACCAGCCCCGGGTTCAGTGCCTTGGTTGGGTCCACATGGCCCGAACCCATGTCAAAGACCGTGGCTGGAACATTCTGCTCGGTGGAGATCGGGTTGTAATCGAGATCGTAGGTGTAAGCTGTGGTCAAAATGGCCGACTTTATGGCTGCAGGGGACCAATTGGGATGAGCACTCTTGATCAGAGCTGCAACTCCACTCAGATGTGGGCAAGACATTGAAGTTCCTGATACCACGTTGAATGGGGTTGTAGCATTGTCGACTGGTTCCCCCCAAGCAGCCAGAATGTTGACCCCGGGGCCGATGATGTCCGGCTTCAGGATCCCGGGAGATTGCAGGTTGGGACCTCTGGAGGAGAAGGAGGCGACTTGTGGAGCGATTTTCGACTTGCCAATCAAGGTACCTTGGAATGAGATTGCTGCAGTTGGGGATGACGTCGAGTTCAAGTAATCGAGGACGCGCAATCCGTCCTTGTAACCGAGGTTCGATGCAGGGAGTACATGAGGTTCAGGACTAGTAGTGTCGCCATCTTCCGCACGGTTGATCAAGATCACGCCTGCTCCTCCGTTGTCCTTCACTTCTTGCCCCTGGGCAGTTATCAGAGCCGTCGATACCACCTGGCATATGACTATCTTGCCCTTCACGTCAATGTTCTTCAGTGACCCTTCCCAACAAAATGCTGCTGATGCACTGTAGGTAGAAGGGTCCACAATGGGCAGCTGCTTTGGATGGAAGTTCGTAGGCTGGAAGAGGGATTGGCCATGGAGCTCCACATTGTTCCCCAACGTCACCGTCGCCCTGATCTCCCTATCGATCGTACTTGCTCCGACGGTTAGAATCCATGGCGCTGAGTTGGTTACTGAACTCGGTAAGGGTCCACCATTTCCAGCAGAGCAGCTCACAAAGATACCCTTCTGGATGGCTCTAAATGCTCCCAATACAAACACATCATCGAAGAAAGGATAATGAACTAAGTTACCCATTGAGATTGAAAGCACATCAACGCCATCCTCAATAGCTGCATCAATAGCTGCTAATACGCTACTATCAGTTTCATCGACCTTGTACATTGCCAAGTGGGCTTTCGGGGCGATCCCCATGGCTGTCCCGTTCGCTTGTCCAAACACATTGGCACCCTCTACAGGGCTCCCTGCAGCTTCCGACGCAGTATGACTCCCATGGAGATCCTTCTCCACTGGGGTATCCCCGGCCCCTAAGAAGCTTCTAGCACCGAGGAGCTTGTTATTACATGTTTGCTTGCCGTTGAAGTCACACCTGCCTCTCCACTTGGCTGGCGGGGGAGGCATGCCTTTGTCGAAGAAAGAAGGGTGATCGTGCTTTATACCCGAGTCAATCAGGCCAATGATCACTCCCTTGCCGGAATGCGTGGACTTCCAAGCTCCTTCATTCTGTTGCAGGCCAAGGAACTTGGGAGTGAAGGTTGTGTGGAAGGATACAGGTCGCTCGACTCTGGCCGAAATAAAGCCTTCCTTTTGTTCCATTGCTTTGGCCTCGTGCGGGGTGAGCTTAGCAGCAAAGCCTGTGATCACATTGCGGTAGGAGTGGACGATCCTTTGGTGGCTTGGAATTAAGCTTGAAGTAGTTTCTGAGAGGAATGTGGTGTACCACTCATGTAGGTTGGATTCTAGTAGGCCTTCTGGTTTCTCTAAAAACACAATGTAGGTTTCCAAGTCGGTTTTCAGGGAAGCTTCTGATGCTTCATGGGAGAAGGGGGAGGTGGAGAAAAACAATGTGGAAGCTAAAGTGAGGGAGAAGAGGAAGAGGGCTTTCATATTTTCTTTTCTTTTCTGCACTGTCCAAGCTGGTTTACTATGAGGTTGCTTGCTGCTGTTGAAACTTGAACCCTGATGATCAATATATAGTGACAATGCTAGTCAAAGTAAAAATGTGCCTTTTTAACTCCTTGCTGAAGGAAGCATGCGGAAGGGTAAAAGTCATTATCTGATCTGTTGCATGTCTCAATCTGCAGGATGCATTAGTGAGACATTCTTCCAAGTAAATGACAAACGGCTACTGGTTACGATAATAACCATGATATCAGCAATGGATGTGGTAAATTCCCTTCGTGGGCATTACAAGATACTGATAATGTAGTTACTGGCATTTATTTAGATTAGAAACCCCCCACAGGGCCATGTGCAATGTTTTGAACTACTTTTTCTGTTATTTTCTGCATTATCATAATACTGTTGCTGGAGATGATGAGTAATGAACTTTCAGCCATCTCCAGGAAATCTTCTTCTGGTTTAGAGTGTTTCTTGGACGTCTGTGTTTCATATACGCAGCATGCGTGTGGGAACAATGGGAATTGGTTACAAAAGAAGATGATGGATCATTTGCAGAACAAACGGCAGATCTATTTTGGTTATCTGATGACCACAATTCGGCGACTAGATAGTTTCCCGAGCTTGAATCAAATTAAGAAGATTCATAGGACTTCTTTTAAAACCTTTAATGCAAGATTGGATACTAGTAACTCCATTCTTTTCTCATTGTTCTTTGAAACATACAGCTATTTACATGCTACATCGAAATACAACCCTTCTGTAATGACTCCATTCGCATGGAGTAGCTCCATTTCCCTTTAAGGCCTTTGATACAGAGATCATAAGCCGTAGCCAGCAAGTAGGGGCACGATTCAAGTTCTAGCAGTTGCCTGGCTAGTTTCAGCATACCTCGAACACTCATCCATATGTGGAACACAGCTATTTTGTATATATAGACTAAAGTGGACTATCTACTTAAGATTGTATACAAGTTTAAGCAGCAGCAGAACGGAGACTATGGTCTCTTCAAGCAGCCTAATCTCTTCCTTCCCGTCCAGAAGAATGGTGATGCTTGTCTCTGGCAGATGCACGATTCGCCATTCCTGAGACCTGTCGCCGTGAAGATCCACTCCCCTCTGCCGGGTGGCTTACAACCGACCGGCCAATCGGATTCGGACGTTCTGTCGAAGGAAGTGCCCACCCTCCATGACCTACCTGTGGATTATTCTGGGAACTGCCAACAGCCCCTGAGCAATATGAGTTGGTAGTGGAAATTAGTTACCATATAAAGACACTGGCTACACATTTGAGAAACAAAAAGATTGAGAACAGGAGTAACAAGTTCAAGCAGCACATTACTGATAATTAGACAAATGACGGCCTATCCACAGCCCCGGACATCAAGAACAAGGACAGGCAGATCAGGAATAGTTCAAACAAATGACTCTTTTACAGACGTAAAAAAAACAAAAGCCACAATTATACTTACTCATATTCTCACGACCATTGAAGTTTCTTCCCCAGCCAGGCAAATGAGGTCCAGCACTACCATTCCAAGCTTGTTCAAAATTAGGAAGTTCGTCTAGAAATACAAATAGGGAAAGTTAGGCTACAGTGCACGTCATGCTGGGACAAAAAATAAGAAGCTAGAATTAGGAAGCTCACCTTGCTCAAGATTATGCAGGATCTGCTGTGAATCCACATTCCCGTCTGAGTTAAGCTTCCGTGCTACGGTATGACCCTGTGCCATTGATAAATATAGCATTAATCAAACCTAAAATACACCATATATGCAGTAACCAATAACTGCCACAAATTACTCAGACACCTTGTTGTGTAGCCCCCTTGAAATCCTGTGAGATGCTTTGCCTGTAGAACTATCAGCTTCTTTGCTTTCTTCATATGTTACCTGTTAATCCACCCAAAGCTACAATTAAATTAAGACAGAAAAACCAAAACAGCAATTGGTAAAAACATACCATAGCTAGAGGTCCTCACCCCGTCACTTCCCGTTCTCCTTGTCTTGGATGAAGTGTAATAAGTTCCACCAGCACCACCGTATGAGACACTTGAACTTTGAAACACAAAGCTCTGACTTTGAGGAGGCTTAGACTGCACTCTACTGAAATTGTTATGCCTATTTCCAGCCATCAACATCTTGCGGTGCCTCCCTGTTGCATGAAGAGAAATTTCTTAGCTAAGCAATGGTTATAGATAGCTCTCTACAGAATCACAGAAGTTATTTCAACACAAGATAACCACGAGTTTACCTTCATATTCTTCATCCACTTCCTCAACATATGGCCCTTTACCAGACCTACCATGCTTTCTGGAATTCTCTTTCCTCTCCTTATCAGCATCCTGCTTCTCATCATCAGACTCTAGTTCCTCAATGATTGGCCCCTGTGACCTGTTGGGTACTGGAGCTTGATGCTCGATATATGCAGGTGGATGCATAGGCACGAAAGGATTTGCATTGGGACCAAAGAAACTGGGCTCGAACATTCCTCCAAATGGACGAGTAAAGAAAGGATCGTCAAATGGGTTCCTCCCCTCGAAAATGCCAGACAACATGCTCCTCCGCCCTCCAAATCCTCCAAATCCCCCAAAACCAGCAAATGGATCACCACCGAAACCAAAAAAGGGATCCCCGCCTCCCCTTCCTCCTTGCATTTTCAGATGACTGGTTCAATGAAATAGCAACACGCAGCAGCAAATGAGTAGAGAACTCAATGATCCTCCATTTTGTACAAGGAAAACACAGACCGATTCCAATCAGGAAACTAACCGATGACCTAACCTCTATTCACTTCAATAATCACAATACACAATTCAACAATCAACAAAACGTGACTCAAAGCTAAGGAAGGGAGCGACTGAATTTCTTCGCCTAATCTCAAAGCAACTAACCGGAGCTTAGATTGATCCAGAAGAGGAACAGACTATCACAAGTTCCGCAAAAGTAACTTGCAAGATATCACCTCAATAGTGCCGACAGCTAATCCGCTAAATAGAACAGCAATCTCGAAGAAACGACGGCGACGAAAGCACCAAGCTCATCACTGGATAGAGCAATGGCCTCACGGTAGCGGCAAAGGGAATGATAATTCAGAAATGACGATAACAGGGAGACGAGGCGATACCTTTCAAAAGCGAATGAATCAGAATTCCCGGCGAAGGAACCAAAACCCTAATCCGGACGGCGAGTGGCTAGTATTGATGAGCCCGAATCCCAGTTTGAAGGCACAAATATTTCTCTCTTCTCTTCTCGACGACTAAAGAAACGGAATTAGAGGAGAGAGCTCGGAGCTGGTACAGCGGAAGGTTCTAGCTCCGGTACGGCACGGTTCCTGATGATGTATTGGGAGCGGATATCTCAATTTGGTCACCAAACTTGTTTATGGGTACAAATCGGACACTAAACTTTAGTATTTCTGAAAACAGATGCATATTAATTTGTCATGCTATAAATAAATCATAGTAGCAATGTCAGTATGTTAGTGTTCTCATTTTTCACTGATTTTTAGGTTATATTGTTAATGTGATCAGCTTCTCTGCCTTATTAAAGCTTACTATGGAAGCAACATAACAATAAAAATTAACAGAAGAAATAAAAAAAAAATTGCTAACGCCGACTTGGTTTGATGAAATCAGAATTTCATATATCAATATTAAATCTGGCTTCCAAGAGATCTAAGTGCAAACTTGGTAAACAATTAGTATTTACCCTGATTTTCACTGTAAGTTGTGTTCATATGAGTAACAAACATGAATGATAAAAAAAGGATTAATACTTAGGAGGGAAAATGAACTAATCAATACCAGGGCTAGGCCTAAGGGTGTGTCATCAGGCCTTCCGACACTGGGCCTCAAAATTATGGGGGTCTTCGGCTCTCCAACGTGTATATGACTAATTACTATTGTTAATTATTGGGTTTTGATTATGAATTTAAAACGACATAAAATTTATGAATTGGATTTTGATTATGGGTCTAGAACAATAATATTAAAATTTTAAGTCTGAATGCTAAAGGAGCTAACGAATCACATGAGGGGAATATTTGCTTTCTTATTAGGCTTTTTTAAACCATATAAAATAACTCATTTTTGTATTGTGTTTCCTAATTAGAATAAAAGAGATAATATTGTGAATGTCTCATTATTAGCATTATTAAATTTATTGCATTAAGTTCTTTCATTTTCAGCTTTTCAAGTGGGAATTATAATTCAACATCGTCAATTAATCTGTTTGTACTAGCAAGGCAGTAATGCTAAATTAATTAAATAATTTGCATTGACTTATTAAAGGTTAACCGGAAAAATTAGGTACAAGCCACCAATAGTAGAAAAGTAAAAATAACTAAATCAATTATAAAATAGTTTCTATCATATTTAACTTTAGACTAAAAAAATTATCAATTTTTCCTATATAATTTAGTTTACTCTATTATTTATCTATACTATTTGATTGTTCTAAAATTATTTTCGTCTTTTACCTAATTAAGTTCTCATTACCTATTCAATTGAGTCTAGTTAATTCATTCATTGTCATTTTAGTTATTATTTGGATTCTTTTATTTGGATTTATGTGATTCAATCTCTCAAATAATCAATTATTTTACTTACATCTTCCTATTTAAATAATGTTATAATTTGTATTTATTGATGTTTAGTTTATATTTTACTATATATTTAGAAAAAATAATTTGGACCACATTTTATTTACAGAATATGACCTTCAAAATACTATCATCAGTACCACTTCCCAATAGAGATAAACATATCTCCTTCAATGGGTTTTCAATTAATCATCACCTCGTAGCCATGGACTCATGGTTTTCATGGTATTTTGTTCATGTTAAAAAAATATTAACAAAGAATTTTGGACAAGAGTGTTAAAAAGAGAAGGGAAGATTGAGAAAGAAGAAGAACATAAACAAAACAAAACAAAAAAGTGGAGAAGAAGAAGAAAAAATATTTGAATTTTTTTATATCATGTTATTCATTGTTCTCGTTTGCAACACAATTCTCTTTTATAAGCTAGGTCAATTACAATTGACAACCTAAACTTAACCATTATGACAATTAGATACTAATCATTTCAAGATACCTTGTAGATCAAATTAATTTTGATCATCCTTAAAATATCTTAGTTAATATCCATTGCTATTTTCCAATACTTAAAAATGAAATATTGCCACTCTCCTAGTAGAAAAGAAAAGGGGCTTCAACCCAAAAAAAAAAAAAGGGAAACCTTTTCGGCCTCCATGACCGACTTACCGTCATTGTTTTTTTATTTTACTGGAAAAAATATGTTTTTTAAATTATTAACTGCCCTCTCGCTACAGTCTATATAATTACTGGGGACTCGAGATACGAAACGAAAAGGCAAAATAAATAATCGAGGAAAATACAGCTCCAGGAATCTCTCTCCCTCTCTTCTTCCCATCGCTCTCGTCGTCTGCGCAAATCTCCTCGCTCAGCCTTAGGGTTTCTCCATCCCGTCCGCTGCATTGTCTGCTTCCTTGCTTCGGTGTTCATCTGGTAATCCAATGGACAACTACTCTTTCTAATCCTCTTTCAGTTCTTTCCTCCGCCCCTCGATTCCTAGGGTTTATTTCGAAGTTCTCTTTCCCTTTCTCGTCATTTTGGTTTTTGTTCCCGCGCATTGCTTCGATTGCGGAGTGCTTGCTACTGCTTCGAGTTTCCCCTTCGCTGCAGTTACCTCATCGCGTTTTCGAGTTTGTGTATCTATCCTTTTAATTAGGATCGATTACTGTTCAGTTTGACGGTTATAGGGTTTCGCAGCTCCAACACACTATTGGATTGTGTATTCTTTTGAACTTGGTTCGTTTCGGCGGGGTTTTGGGGTTCTCGATTCAATCGGTCCCTCGTTTTTCTTCCTTCGTGTGATCGGTTTCTATATGAGTTCCAATTCGTGATCGAACGTCGTTACTCTGTATTGGGGATTGTTCTTGGTTTGTATTGATTGATATGGTATGGTTAGGGTTCTGATTTCTTTTGGTTCCATGTTTCCTTGGCAGAAGTTGGGCTGTACAATGGAGCGTAAGGTGATTGAACTTGACCAGGGATGGGACTACATGCAGAAGGGGATCACGAAGCTGAAGAGGATTCTGGAGGGATCGGTTGAGCAATTCAATTCCGAGGAATATATGATGCTTTACACGTAGGGTTTTCTTTGTTTATATAAGTGCACTTTTTAATAACAAGTAACCCCTTGCACTTTCTAATACCTTATTCCATGGCACAGAACTATCTATAATATGTGTACACAGAAGCCTCCTCATGATTACTCTCAGCAGCTTTATGATAAATATAAGGACTCGTTTGAAGAATACATTAGTTCCACTGTGAGTACTATGTTTAGTTCTGTTACGCTGGTTATTTATGGCTTGCTTCCTTCATAGAGATGGAAGAAGATGATTTTGGGGGAGGGATGTGATACTTTCTCGTCTGTTTGTTAGGTACTGCCAGCTATTAGGGAGAAGCATGACGAGTTTATGCTGAGGGAACTTGTGAAAAGATGGGCCAATCATAAACTCATGGTTAGGTGGCTGTCTCGGTTCTTCCATTATCTTGATCGTTACTTCATTGCTCGGAGGTCACTTCCAGCACTTAATGAAGTTGGCCTTACCTGCTTCCGCTCTCTGGTTCGTCTCTGACTTGGACAACTATTTGTAATCCATAATATAGGCTTTCTGTATGGCTTCTTTTCAAACATTGTTTTAATGGTATCCTATAATTTACTTTCCTTTATTCAGGTGTATACGGAAATAAGTGGCAAAGCCAGAAATGCTGTCATCGTTCTTGTGAGTTCAACTTTGTGACCTGCTTGTTGTTACTCATTAGTTCTTTCAACGGAATCTTGACACTTATGTATTCTGATCCAGATCGATAAGGAACGTGAGGGAGAGCAAATTGACAAAGCTCTGTTGAAGAACGTCTTGGACATTTTTGTCGAGATTGGGATGGGGCAAATGGATTGCTATGAGGTTGATTTTGAGGCCCCTATGCTGGAAGATACAGGCGTTTACTACAGCCACAAGGCATCAAACTGGATTGTGGATGACTCTTGTCCAGCATACATGTTGAAGGTATAACTTAGTGTTTTGGTACATTATAAGTCAGTTTTCTACAATTACTCCTGTTGTAACAAGGCAACCTTGAATTGCAGTCCGAGGAATGCTTGAAGAAGGAAAGAGACAGAGTTGCACATTATCTGCACTCAAGCAGCGAGACTAAATTAGTAGAGGTTGGTTCAATATCAGACTATTTTTAGGGGGATTAATGGTTGTATTTTCTGTTGCTCAATTAATGCACTGTTTAGCTTTTACTAAATCCCCATGAGTTAAGACACTTGTTGGTGCAGTATGTTTAAAGTTCTTGCTTCTGATGCAGAAAGTACAACACGAACTGCTAGTGAACTTCTCCACTCAGTTGCTTGACAAGGAGAATTCTGGGTGTCGTGCTTTGCTGAGGGATGACAAGGTATATCTGATTTAACAATTTCCATGAAACTGATTGTCTCCACATTTTTTGTAGTGTAAGATAACATTAATGATTTCTATGTACCCTATCTAGGTCGATGACCTTTCCCGGATGTATAGGCTTTATCATAAGATACCTAAAGGCCTAGATCCTGTTGCAACCATATTCAAGCAGGTTGGCTATTGTATATTGTCATTTTGCTGAGAAAATGGCCGTCTATATCTCTGGTACTCATCATGTATATTTTACAGCACATTACTGCCGAAGGGATGTTACTGGTACAGCAGGCTGAAGATACTGCGAGTAACCAGGTGGTTCAGGTCAGTCGTGGCTTTGATTATTTTTCACTCATTGTTTGCTTTTTCTTTATATGCTTGTAGTTTCTTAATATATATATATCGTTAAAGGGGTTAGCACCTGGAGATTTAGTTTCAAATCTTTTACTCTTAAAATTTCATTTTTCTGATCTGACATTTTATGTTGATGCCTCTGCTGCAGCCCACAAGTGGTGGTGTTCAAGAACAGGTAATTATCTCCTGTTTTGCTCCCTGATTTCTGTTTTCTCAACTCTTTGCTGATTTGTATTGTTTGGTTCCCAGGTGCTGATAAGGAAGGTGATTGAGCTCCATGATAAGTATCTCGCTTACGTGAGCGATTGTTTCCAGAACCATACTCTGTTTCACAAGGTTAGGATCCATCCATATGTGAATGCATCTCTGTCATATTGCTTTATCTAGCTGTTCTGCCCATTAATTTATCATTCTTGCCTGGTGAATAGGCTATGAAAGAGGCGTTTGAAATCTTCTGCAATAAAACTGTTGGTGGAAGTCCTAGTGCTGAACTTCTGGCAACATTCTGTGATAACATCCTCAAGAAAGGAGGCAGTGAGAAACTTAGTGATGAAGCTATTGAGGACATATTGGAGAAGGTTAGCCTAGTGTGATGAGCACTCGACTTAATATGCTTTGTATTCTGTGGTAGTTTTTTTGCCAAATAAAAGAAGAAAATTTTGCAGGTCGTCAAGCTGCTTGCATATATTAGCGACAAGGACTTGTTTGCTGAGTTCTACAGGTAATTTTTGGTTGAAGTCGCTTATTATTATAATTATGTGCTGGTTGTTTCTTACTAGGTAGTTCATTTGCTATCTAAGTTGCTCTGTATCAGTCATACTTATAGTAACATTGTTAATTATTGTAGGAAAAAGCTTGCTCGTCGCCTGCTCTTTGAACGCAGTGCTAATGAGGAGCATGAGAAGAGCATTCTGACGAAGCTTAAGCAGCAATGTGGTGGACAATTTACTTCAAAGATGGAAGGAATGGTAATGCCTATGCGAGGTTCATTTTGCATTGCACTATGAATATGGTCCCCTTTTTATATTGATTGGTGTCCTTTTTACTTTTAGGTCACTGATTTGACACTGGCAAAGGATAATCAGAACGAGTTTGAGAATTATCTTTCTAATAACCCAAATGCGCACCCGGGTATCGACTTGTCAGTCAATGTTCTTACAACTGGATTCTGGCCAAGCTACAAGTCTTCTGATTTGAACCTTCCTTCGGAGATGGTGATGTGAAGTTTTTTCCTTTATGTTATGTATAGTACCCTAGGTCTCCTCCTGCATATTATTCATTCTGTCTTGTTGCAATACAGGTTAGGGGCGTTCAAGTATTCAAAGAGTTCTACGACACAAAAAGTAAACATAGGAAGCTAACATGGATTTACTCCCTTGGGTCTTGTCAACTAATCGGCAACTTTGAAGCCAAAAAAATTGAGATGGTTGTCTCAACTTATCAGGTACTGTCAATATCTGATTGGAAGAGTCTGAATGTTGCAGAAATGTTGCCCGGTCTATTAACACCCAAGTACTTTGTAATTTCTGCAGGCTGCCATACTTCTATTGTTCAACACCTCAGACAGGCTCAGCTACTCTGAGATTATGACCCAGTCAAACTTGGGTCATGATGACTTGGTCCGATTGCTGCATTCTCTGTCATGTGCCAAATACAAGATCCTTATTAAGGAACCAAGTTCAAAGACGGTTTCCCCGAATGACATCTTCGAGTTCAACCCGAAGTTCACCGACAGAATGAGGAGGATCAAGGTAATTTCACTTTCTTTATGCTCTTAACTTCAACCACTTTAAGAAAGGAATTGCTGCGGTATTCAGTATTGCACTCACAGATGCATTTTTCATGTTTAAGGCGGAACAATAACTTATAGAACACTTATTTAATTTGCAGATTCCACTTCCAGTTGTGGATGAAAGGAAGAAGGTTGTTGAAGATGTTGACAAGGACAGGCGATATGCAATAGATGCAGCCATCGTTCGCATAATGAAGAGCAGGAAGGTTCTTGGTCATCAGCAGTTGGTCTCGGAGTGTGTGGAGCAGCTCAGCCGCATGTTCAAGGTATATTATTATATATATATATATGCTCTCTTAACAGTACAAATGAGGCCTGATTCAGTATCACCACTCAAAGCTAGATGGCGGTTATTAAGCCTCGTGTCTTCGTCATATATATTCTTGCTGTCCGACTTGGTTTTCTGAATTTGGGGTGTCTCTGTCTATCTTGTATTCTGCAGCCGGACATCAAAGCTATCAAGAAGCGGATGGAAGACTTGATTGCCCGAGACTACCTGGAGAGGGACAAGGAGAACGCCAACCTGTTTAGGTATCTGGCTTAAATAACGGCAGCTGATCTCCTCTAAAAGAGGATATCAGCATCTTTGCTGGAGACGATATGAAGAAGCGAGAGGGATGGATGGATGGATATCGGAACAAGCGAGGGAGCTCTGAACAGTGCTGCATATATAGTTCAAGATTGACTTGTTCTTAATTACCCAAAAAATTGTTTGATGTAAATGGCTGTAGTAGGAAAGTGCCCTCTTTTCTTTCTAGGTAAACAGACTAGAAATCTACTGGGAAGGATTTCTTCTTCTTTTGAGTGCCTGGCTTCTTTGACAAGCAGTTTTGTGAGATAGGTCCTTCCTACTTATCTCTTTCTCCCTTCTACGTTGATTGGTTGCAGTTGCAGACTTATTGATGACGCAAAATATGTTGATATGGAAAATGGAAAACTGGGGGAAGAAATTCAAGGGGTCGTTTGGAAGTTGCGATTGTTTTGTTGAGATTGTCATTATGTATGTATTGTTTACAATGTATCGTTTTTTTTATTTTTTTTAAACGAAACAATACATGGATTGTTTCTGTGATGTGACAGAAACTATCACTCATTTTGAGTGATTGTTATATCTCAACTTTTAGTTGTGATTGTTGAGATAATTGAGTTGAGATTGTTTTGTCTCGGCTTTTAGCTGATGCAACATACACAATCACACATATCAAACGTTGTATTCTACAATGCATCAAATTCGACAATACATGTATAATATTATACATGCATTCTCAACAATACATCTATTTAACAATCGCAACTTCCAAACGACCCCAAGTATATTTTTCCAATCTCAGCTTTTCCTCGTATATGTTACTTTTATCATGGGTTACTCTTTCCTGGTTTGTCCTTTATTCTAGTGATGGTGTTAGAATTTTCTTTTGGTAGGCCTGTCCTGTGTACAATTTGGGACCCCCGATTCACTTGCTAAGGAAACATAAGCAATGGAGAGCCGTAATTAGCAACGACAAAACAACTCACCCCGAGTAACTGTACACATTCCCATTTCGAGACATTATAGTTTTGGGGGGGGGGGGGGGGGGGTTGACAGTAATCAGATCTTCATTCATCAACGAAACTCGGATACAAAGGGACATCAATCAGACATGGGCTGAAATCAAATCAAGAACAGTAAGCCAATCGCTTGGGAGAGAACGACTAGCTTGTGACCGAGCAACCCAGTCAGCTCTGAAGTTCAAACGACGGGGGATCTTGCGGATCTCAATCAAAGGCGCTGAGATAAGGATAATCCGCATAGCTTCCATCATCGAGGCACATCTCCATGGCCAAGAATCTGACCCTTGAGAAATAGCCTTCACCAAAACTTCACAGTCGGACCAGAGCACACATGGCACGTTATACTCTTGATCAATTTTCAGTCATTCTAACATAGCCTTTGCTTCAACTTCAATCGAAGATGAACAAAGAAAAGAGTCAGCCCGTCCATCACAAATCTGTCCTTGGTCGTTACTGATTACGATACCGTAAGCCGCCTCCTGGGAATCATGTAGGAATGATCCGTCGCAGTGTATCTCCAACATAGGGGTACATGGCGGTGGGCAAGAATGTAGATGGGGCCCTCTGGGTTGACTCTGAGAGGTCGGAAAGGGAGGGGAACGTCTCGGGCAATTGCTCCACTCCAGGAATTCCCTAACTGCTGAGATGCAAGTTCCGTAGACTGATGGAGTGCAATTCCTGAACAGCCAGGCATTCCTTGTTTTCCAAATATTCGAACAAAGGAAGATGACTTGAAGAAGGCTCGAGGGCGAGAGACTTTCCTTCAAACCACAGAACCAGTCAAAGAAGCAAGTTGAGGTGGAAGGGAGCGGAAGGGTGGGGAAAAGTCTATTCCAAGCATTCGCAGCATGCGTGCAGAAGAAGAGGCAATGACCTATGGTTTCCTCGGGACAGTTGCAGCATGGACACAATGCATTAGGGGAGCAATTTCTTTTCTGAAGATTTCTCCTTGTGGCAAGTAATCCCTTTGAACTCCTCCAAATGAAAAAATGGAGCTTCAGCGGTAGGGATAAACTCCAAATCCACTTCCATCGATCCCTGTCAATGTTGGACACATAATCACTGTGGTTAGCACTACCAAAGATAGAATTATGGAACGCATGATAGGCAGTTTTAACTGTGAACTTCCCTGTTTCTGTAAATTTCCATGCCCACATGTCTTTCCTCTCATTTGAACCAATTGGGATCCTTCGAATTGCCTCCACCTCTTCCTCGGATAGAAAGCTGGGCATTGCACTTAGGTTCCATTCATTATCATTTCTGTTGATCCATTCTGACACTCTTGTATCATCATGCTCCTCCACGGACAATCGATGGTCAATGGCCGATGAAACCCAAGGATCCCTAAAAGCAAATGTGTCCTCTCCATTACCAATGACTCGAACAGTACCCAGGTTTAAGATTTTCTTTGCTTCCCATAAGCTAGCCCATATCCAAGAAGGACGGCTACCTTTACGGGAGGACAAGAAATCTCCTCGATGGTAGTACAGGCCTTTAAGAAGTCGAGCCCAAAGAGTGTCCGGGGAAGTGAAGAGTCTCCAAGCTTGTTTTGCAACCAAAGCAAGGTTAAAGTCCTTGAAACTCCTAAAGCCCAGTCCACCTTCACTTTTGGGTAAGCATAGGATCTTTCCTTTGCACCAATGAATTGTCTTCTTCACCATAGAACCCGACCAGAAGAATCGTCTCAATACTGAGTCCATACGTTTTGTGAGGCCGTCTGGGAGGAGGAAAAGGCTCATGATAAAAGTCGGTAAAGCCTGAATAACCGCTTTGAGTAAGACCTCTTTTCCCCCAAAAGAGAGAATGAGACTTTTCCATGCTTCACCTTGTTTCTCCATTCTCTCAATAAGATAAGAGAAAGTTTCTTTTTTGGAGTTAGCCCATTTCGTTGGTACTCCCAAATACTTGGAATGACAATTCGAACTCGAGAAGCCCACTGTAGCAATAATCTCCGCTTTCTTTTCTTGTAACAAAGAAAGAATCTGTTACTAAGAACTAGGGCGGGCACGTGGATGGTTAATCCGCGTATTGATATCGATCCACCCGCAAATAACCCGATTCGTATGCAATGGGTGATTGATGTGGGTGGATTGTGGATTGTTAAATCTTCCACCCGCACTTATGTGGGTGGATGATGGGTGGATTGCGGGTCACCCGTATGACCCGCGTCCTATTTTTACATGAAAAAATGTTGTTTCTTATAGTATCGAATATTCATCATATTTTCGAACTACACTATAGTCTGACCATATACTGCAAAAGGTGGAGAATAAGGAATAGTTTTGATCACTATTATTGGTTATTGTGTTGTGCAATATCCATTGGCAATGGAGCCAATGGATATTGTTATGCGAATAATTGTTAATATCCATTAAATATTGGGATACAAACTATAAATTATTAATTGTATCAAAATCACAAATTATTGATACAATCTTTCTAATGTGCTATGAACTTATTATAAATGTTAGTCAATTTTCTTAATGGCTACTTGGAGAATTGCTTTTGCGGGTTAACCCGCGACCCAACCGCACCCATCCGCCACCCACCCAACCCAACCCGCATAAGTATGTGGGTGGTTTGCGAGTCACATATATTCCAACCCGCTAGTAAGCGGGTGAGTCAATTTTAGACCAAAATCCACCCAACCCACCCATTGCCCACCCTAATAAGAACAGACATTATGGATCTGTGGTCGATGCCGGTAACAAAGAAGGAATCTATTAAAACTTGGGATTCGGCACCGTAATAAAATGCTACCATGATTGTTGAAGAATATGATGCAAGTGAGTTGGGTGGATTTTGGTCTAATCCAAGATCCCCTCATTAACTGTTGTTTATCCATTTGCACCAGTCGCGAGCAATCAGACTAAAAGCTTTACTCATAAAATCATGACCTATAGCTCTAATAAGGAGAGAAAACCGAGTGTTAACAGTTACAGGGTCTTCTTCCACTCAAGTATGTACAAAAATTACATGGTTGTGGCACACGTTAACAAAAACAACATGAGCTTCAGCACACAAGTCCGTCAGAGGGATCTGTCCAACAAGGAGAGCTGGTTCCAGTGCTGGTGTGGTCCTGGCTGGTGCTGCTTCCCCTTCAGTTTTGTTTTCAGGTTGACCCGGGATAATGTCAAGCATGTTACAGAATTTCAGCTGTTACTTTTGTCATCTAGCCCCTGAGTAATCAGAGCTCCTGAAGCTCATCCAAGTTGGGTCTGATTGGGTACTCCAATCCATGCAGTGCTGGCATATGCTTCAAGTCTTCAGCTGCATAAGCTGGGATTAGCCAGTATCTCTTGTCAGTGCCGAATACCTGATCCAGAAAAACAACAGTTAATGAGGGGATCTTGGTTATTTATGAGATTCATAAGGTTGTGTCTTTTAATCTTGTTTAGAAATGCAATCTTGGATTCCAAAAGCCAACCCATGTACCATGCTGAGAGGCAGAAGTATAACAATGCTATGTGATGATGCAAAATGCGAAGGCTGAAACCAGTTTCAAGTTCTAGGTCTGGGTTCTAGATACCATGCTGAGAATGTCGTTGACTGACAAGAACATGGACAGGTTTGAAAATGCATGGGGTATCCAGGTGCAAATTAGGGGATGAAGGATGTAAAGGTGACAGATGATAAAGAACCTGTTCAAAGTTCCTCATTCGACCAAGGTCGTAACGCCATCTGGGATCAGTTTTCTTTTCATAAGCCTGTAAAAAGGGTCAGAAAGAGAAAAATAAGATTTGATATCAGTTTCAAATTTGAATAGACACGTTGATGTCCCATGCATATAAGAGAAGGCGCCACCTCCTTCACATCAATCAAAGAAAAAACAGAAGTCATCACCTCGATAGTAGTGGTATTTGCTAACACCAACGATATGTGCAGAATAACGAAGCCCAGAAGACTCAATGCAAATGACAAATTTAACACTGTTTCAAAGCAAACAAGTATAACAAACTGTTAAGACCTTCAGTACATAACATAATATGGTCAAACAAAGAACAATAAAACACTTTAAATATTACCAAATGCAATAAACGTAGCCACGAGATCCCCTGCAGTTCCATCTATTTCACCGTCCCCAAAAAATGCTATGAACAGCCGCAGCAACGATACAGTGACCAGAGCTGTTTCAAGAAATGTGTAGAACTGCAAAAGGAAATATACATAACTAAATGCCTAATAAATTTCTTTCCCCCCAAAAATGAATCTGAAGTATTAAGAAAAATTACAATGTAATAAAGCAATCATGCAAGGAAAAGCCCTTACCAGAAAGAGAAGGAAATACTTGTAGTTTAGTGCGCCGACACAATTAACGACCCAAACGCAGTGGTGATCCATCTTCAATATGCATCTTCGGCCTACCAAAGAGACGAATAATGCATAGCTTTATTAGAAGGAAAAGCAAATTAAGACTCATGCCAAAAGAGTTAGGTTAGTAAAAGAAAACGAAACTCACAAACCGAGCAGTGGTGGCTACGAGGCGGTTTGAACTGGTTGCACTTTCGACAGAATCGTGCTTTCTGCATTTGATCCTTGTTTAGAACTAAACCAGCCGTACTTTGATCTGTACCCACCAATGGATCTACAACACCACCCTCCTCCTCATCTGTTATTGGCCTCCAAGTTTGTGGGACGCCACCAGGATCCGTCAGAATAGTGGTAAAGTAGCTCCAAACAAGCATCACCAACTACGTAATCCAACTGACAGAGTGTTAATGTTGTACGCAATATACTTCATTTGACCGAAAATTCAACAGACTATGAATCAAGTGAAGCCAAAAGCTTGAAATTCTAAATAGACAAACTCTATGTGTTCCCTGGTCATATAACAACTCAATAGTTGAGAATGTGAAGCCTTGGACTAGATTTAGGACTACTCTACAAACTTAATGTAGCCATTAGTGTAACCAATATCAACGAGATGTCTCTGGCTCTGAAGAAGCGCTCATTATGTTGATCTGATTTCAAACTAATTCACTCCCATGCCACAACCACCAAAGAGTCCAGGGCTTAGCAGGCTCAATTCAACAACTTAAGGTAGTAGCAAATAGCCAAAAACTCGACCTGAATAGAGCAAAAACCAGATTACCCCTCGTTATTACGACTGGAGTTCTGATTTCTTCACTTAGATGGGAAATGTAGATTCCAATTCAGCAGTCTAGAATTGAACTCTTTCACATTCACAACCAATAGATAAAAGATTCCAAATTTAATGATCGAAGTCCACAGAACGTCATTTCTGAATCTTAACAGCCGATAGCTACTTAGCAAAGACCTTGTTGCCACCTAATCTAACTTACCATCTCATCTCATCCTAACAAGGGGAGGTTCAAACCATCATTCAGCTATCAACAAGAATTCCAACAGCTCAGCTGATCCACAACCACATAACAAATCGAAATCTCAGCAAAAGAGAACCATAAAAAAGGAAGTTGGAGGAACTGCTTACGAAAGCATGGAAGAAAAGCAGGACGAGGAAAGCAACAAACGAATCGAGCCCGCCGTTGAACAGAGCTGGGCCGTAATTCTCAACGACGATAACATAATAGGTCAACCCGATGACGCCCACCACGAAGAAGATCATTATGGAACCAAGGGCGCGCAGGAAAGTGCAGAACTTGAACACGTTCAGCGCCATTATTGACCCCCCGCCCCCTCCTCCAGATTTCTGCTGAAACATTTCCTTTTCCTCCACCGCAATCGAGCTCCGGAAGAATCGAAAAGGGGAAGCTGACAATAGAGAAAAGGAAGGAACTTTCAGCAATCAACTGTAGAGCTCAAGAATGGGTCGCCGTCGGATTTCCGTGGGAAAATCTATTCGCCACGCAGCATTGAAACTTCCGGGGCGGTGAAGTCCGGACCGGAAGTCTTCTTGTTTCTTTTTTTCCCCTTTTCTCCTTTTCTTTTCTGGATTTCTGTTTTGTTCCCTTTTCTGATGAGTTTTGTTTTCGTTGCTTTCTTTTTTTTCTTATTTTCTACTAAAAAATTCGCCGGATTTACTTGCGTAAGACACGTGGCGGATATTTTGGGCCGGGGTACATTCTCGGTTACCCATAATTGAGCAAATCTAGACAGGCCTAGGCTAGAACTGTGGCCAGTTGAGCCTATTTTGGGCTTTATTGTATGGTCCAGTTCTGCTTCGAAAATTATTGTGGATTTTAGGTATAAGTTTAGTGTTAAGACGATTTAATATATACAACTACAAATTAAAGAAATGGTTTGCTAGGTTCTTACCAATTCGGCATGCAACCATGTGACTGTGAGGTAGGGCACCAACCTAACATATGTCCTACTAAGACACTAAAACTAGTGACATCAATACGATTAATAACTAAACATACTCTCCTTGTCATAGTCCTTGGAAATTTAAAATAAATTTGGGCCAATTGATGTTCTATTTTTTTTCTTTTTGTCTTGGTGGAAGCATTGAGAGAGGCTATTGCACAGTGGCACTAACTCAAGCATGCTTCCTCAAAGTTGTCCACCAAGTCAACAACCCCTTCTTCCTTATTCTTGTTTGAAGACATCCAGTTTCAAATCTTATATATACAAAATACGAGGAGCGAGGTAGCTCGAACTCTAGGTCTCAATAGTTAAATAGGAAGAATAATATGTTAGTATATCAACATTTATGCTTTGCACGCTTCTTAACTTATTGGTTTAACTTCAAGGTGGTTCTAGAGGGGACAAAAGTACCATAGAAATTGTGTGGTGGGGGTAGCATGAAAGCAACCAGCAAGAAATTTCACGTGATCCCTCAAACATCTATCTCGCCATTCAATACAATAGAAAGTCGACAGTTTTAGATCCGAATTTTGTTTAAGAAGGGCAAAATAATGAAATAGCGGTCGGGCGTAAACTCTATCTCCCTAAAAAGGGGTTCCCTTGCTTTCTCTAGAGCAAGTAGGTGATAAAGAAATAGGGTCAGATAGAGAGTGCAAATGTCGCCAATCTTCTTTCCACAACCCAAGTTGTACTGTATTATATCGACCACGCTAGCTATAGCTAGCTGCCATCCCGTGCAGCCATAAACTGGAAAATGGCGTTTTGCCACATTTAATGGCTTCACATGCATTTATGTGCTATGTTATAGAATAGTGTTGTCGTCGTCTCTGCAAGTCTTCGCTCGCTGCCTTTGGCAGAAAGTGTAAAGAAGCTAGCTAGAAGGGAGAGCAGGCGGGCGGTGAGTTGTGCGCAAAGGCAGGCAGGCAGGGAGGAGTTGGTGCTGCCATTTACTACTCCACAGCGCAGGAATAGAATAAATGCGAGTGGGCAGTTGAGGGATAGGGAGAGCATGGCATCACATTAAATGTGGGGTTTTTTTGCCTGTGGGGCTCTTTCCTTACAGAAAAAGAAGAAGGGGGAAAAGCCTCTAAATTTAATGGAAAAGACCCCATCAATCGCCAACACCATATTGTATAATCAATACGATCGACTGTGACACTCTTTCTACCCTCCATTCATCGCCATTATACTCATGTATAGTGACCATATTGCATATTCACTATTGTTACAGAGGTGGCAAATGGATTGAATTGGTGGATCTATGGATCAAATGGATTGGATAAAGTAGATTGGTGAATTATCCATGAATCCAAATGATATCCTCAACCAATGACCAATGTGTAAAATGCAAAAAGTTTAGGTACTAAAGTGTCATGATGAAAATTTTTAGGTACCAAAACGTAATTTTCCAATGATATTTGTTGTACAAAAATTAAATTTTAGGTACCAAAATGTGAAAAATAAAAATTATAGGTACTAAACTGTAATTTTCCTATGATCCATGGATCCAATCCATGAATCCACCAATCCAATTGGATTTGGATCAAATGGATTGGATTAGTTTGATATTTTTAATGGATTGATGGATTGGATTGGTGGATTGGATTGGATTGAGAATTGTCACCTCTAACTATTAGTGATTCCAGTGTATAGTTACCATTCTTAACGCAGATACGTATGAGTTTCATTCGGCTTCAGAGAAATATCATTAAAGAAAATGAAAATAGAAAAAATACAAATAAATAAAGGCAACAAGGTTGGTTCAAATTGCCATTACAATAGTTCGCTCGACCAAGTAGGAAGGTATATTAATTTATATATAGTGTTTAACCATGCTTTTGTGGAACCCTACTGGTTGATGATGTTATACATGTGAATTTCCCTGTCTATATATTTGGATGGTACGACTGGATATATACCACAATTCATGGATGTATATGAATATCACACACTTGAGACCAAAAAGGAAATTAAGCTGCTAAGTTCCAGTAAATTGTTCTCATGTGAAATGGTGTACCCTGGAGTGCCTTGTGTTGCGGGGCACTGTAAAATATATTTGCAGAACGTTACAAAATCCCATGGCGTGGACGCTAGTTGGGTTTTAAGTAAGGTCACGAGTTCGTTCATATGGTCGGTTTACTTTTCTCTTGTTTGGTCAAATAATAAATTATTGCACACTTGATTATCATAACCAAACTAGCTAGAAGAGTACCTGTCATACATGTGAATGATGATACAAGTGAGATTTGGCTTTGGATCCATATATATCTAAACAACTATTAACAAGTACTCACTAGCTTGAGTGAAAATTAAACCACCTTATCTAAGCTTATCACATTCTAAGTGATGCTGAGCTCGACATATATATAGTTCAACAAAGCCGAGTACAATGTGAATCTATATATCGGTTGTTATAATTATTATTGAAAATGTTAAAACTTATGATTCAATATGTTATAATAACTCAATCAAGAGACGAGGGGGAACGAGAGATACTTCATACAATTAGGTTTACATTTTGGTAGGAAAAATGTTAGTCGGGTCATACGGTCATAAAGATCCAAAAATATTTTATACAGGCGTGCAAGGTATCAATATTGGTAAGAATACGTTAAAAACTTACGATAAACCTAACAGTCGTGAAGCTAGACTCGCTCTATGCTGCAATCATATGCTAATCAACGTAACTAGCCCAACTCGAATTCCTAATTAACATGTCAAATCTGGCTAACTACTGTATTCTATATATACTAAACTAACTGAATTGATCCTAATCTTTTACACTAGACAACATTCTAGTCCCAACCTAATCCTGAGCATAATCAACAGGGTGATTTTGATCTTGATGACCCCTAATGTACACCACCATATTAGATGTCCATCCAGAAGCCATTATAGGGTGTAAAGAAAAGCAATTACATGGTACTTAAGAATGAAGGCAACTAATTATAACTAGTTAAAATGGTGGTTATATTTCATCATTGGCAGGCAGTTAGAGTCTTGACTTTCAGAAATTCCCGCACATTCATCACATGCATTGAAGAAGAAGAAGAATGTTGATCAAGGCAATTAATGGTAAAGGTAAACCATCTTGGACACAATGGGAAATGAGAGACTATCGATCTCTCTTGATCAGCACTTCAAGGTGTGATATCCATAGCCGTAGAGCCACTGAGCACAGTCTTGTCGTAATTCAATGTGAAGCATTTATGTAAGGTTCCATTCCAAGGCCATACTGTTTGCATGGTCCAAGCTAGCTACCTCGCTACCTCTTTTATTTTATTCAACAAAAACGACTGCATGCCCTTGTTGGTTTTTACTGAAATGTCGATTACCACCTGGCAACCAAACCATTTCTCGCGTTGACCGAGTATGGGTAAAATCCACAAAAATGTTGATAGGTATGAGCGGGTATGATTTTGAACTTCTCGACCCTAGACTCATACTCAAACCCACCCCACCAGATATTATGTTATATAGATAAAATATAAGGAGTCTATTATAACTTGTCAATGGAATGAATGGTAATTAAAAGAAATAACAAAGTGTTAAAATGTAACTGATGGCAACCAAACCGTAATTTTATCCTATTATGTATTAGTTTCATAATTTTGGGTGGGTAGTATCCATATTTGTCACCATATTCTCTTATTAATGGTGAGTAGTTGATGGGGCGGGTATTAACAATGGGTATCCGAAAACCGCGGGTATGGGGATGGGTTTGTAAAACTTTCCACCGCATGGGTATGAGGCGGGTATGAGTTTGAGTATTTGAAAATGGGGATGGATTGGTTTAGGCAAACCCGTCCCAAAACCCGCCACATTGTTATCCCTAGTTACATATTATAAGAAATCATGTTTAGAATATTGATTCAATTATTTAAAAGATTAGATATAGCAAGAGAAAGAGCAACCCAATCAGTCCTCACATTATGTCTTCGAAGAATTTCTTGAGCTTTGATAATAGGGCTAGAGTTGAGGATCGAAGACAATGCTCGAACTATAACCTAATATTCCGATTGGACAACAAATTAGTCTTTCCAATAACGACGCCGCATCTACTTCAATGCCCCGTGTTGTTGATGATGATATATATCGCACATTTGGGTCGGTTTGGCATTTCTCTACACTAATACAAGTAATTTCCCTATACATACCCTGATGTTAGGATAGCGTCTTGAAGTGAGATTAGGGTGGTTCCACTCTCTTTTAGTAAAGGTGGTTAAGCTAGAGCCCTTTAATTTTCACCTAAACATGAATTAATCCATGGCATGCTTCACTCCAATGATGTAACCCGATGCCTACGCATATAAACCCAAACCTGAAAATGTAAATTTACGTGCCCTAATTGATGACTGTCTATATATATATATACGGTTTGCCTATCAAATCGACTAATCCAGCTGAACTACTGCTGATAAATGATACTTAAATAATCCAGTGTACAGATGACCAACTACTGATTGAATTAAGTTATATTTTGTGACACGAATTGGGAGCTAACTATACATATTCTTCTTATTAAAGAACAAGTAAGATGTGCACTATTACTTATAGTCACATCATCCAAATGATTGGTTTGTGGCTTTTTTTTTTTTTTTTTTGGGTTTTGTTGATTCTTTTGGTTCCCTATCGTTGTTTGTTTTGTTTGCTCGTGTGTTTGTCGCGGTGTGTTGCATGTTCTTTTTTTTTTTACCGTGTCGTGCGATCGAACCGGTCTAGATTCGTTCTTACTGTTGTTGTTGTCTTTTTTCCGTACTCCAAACCGATTTAGATTCGCTCTTCCTGTTGTTGTTGTCTTTCGCCCGTGTTCTTTTTTTTACCTGTGTTGTATTTGGGTTTGGTGGCGCATACCAACTTTCTCATGCGAATCTTTCTGTTGTTGTTGGCTTTTATCGCCTGGCCTTTTTTTTTGGGGAGCGCCCCGT